GAGATAGGTCCATAGTTACTATTGAACTTGAATAGGAAGTCATATACTGGCAATCTAAGTGTGACCTTGAAATTGACCTTTGATCTACTTATTATCATGAACTGAACTCTGCTAATTTCTTTCTCTTTTAACTCCAAACCTGGCAGAGATAGGTCCATAGTTACTATTGAACTTGAATAGGAAGTCATATACTGGCAATTTACTGTGACCTTGAAAATGACCTTTCACCTACCTTACGATGAACTTAAATTTGATTGTACCATTTTTAGTTTCATATATTTTTTGCATATATTGAAAATTCTTGTTGATTGCATGTTTACAGCTTGTCAAGCACAAGACTGGTGGCTGTGTCCCTTATTTTGTGTATGTGGGGGTCTATACGAATGCGCTTGCTGCAGCTGGTGGTACAATATTCGGAGGCGGTATCGCCTCTCTGATCCTCTAGTTTCTTCTGAATACGGGAAGGTATTGCTTTCTAAATGACTGGTCATTAATTTCGAACTAAATCTTTAGATTAAAAGTGGAATAAAACATGGGATCCAAGTTGATTCGTGTGTTCGAGGGGAGCGGGTGAATAACATGATTAAATCCCGTGCAACCCCCCCCCCCCCCCCCACAACGTTTTGGAGTACATTCAAATTCGTGTGATAATGTAAGAGCATGTTTGTCTGTGCCGAGCGAGGGAGGCGAGGCCAATGTCTTTATTCTTTCTACATGCAGTCATTAAACTCATTTTGATAATGATTTTAAATAGGTTGGCCGTAAGCTAACGGTACGGAAAATTTTAGGCTTGTGTATGAGAATTTTCATATTTATCCAACAACCAAGCTTGGACCTAAATTAGGTCCAAGAACCAAGCTAATGAACCTTTTTGCTGAACCAAGGGAGTTTAGTCGCTAGCGACCATGGAAGTATGTCTACACTAACACATCAGCTGTCTAGTATGTATTGGTGTGCAGACACCACGCATGCTAATACAAAATGTAGCAAGCAGTTCCACAGAGTTGTGACTGACAATGTTACTCAAAACGGACACAGAAAAGCAGAAAGCTCATCTACTGCATCGGATAACCGAAACTGTGGTAGTTTCCAAAACTGAATTCAAACACATACAAAAATATTCAAAGTGTTATTAAAAAGCAGATTTCGAACATTTTGCTGTTGTGAAGGCTTTGCAGTTACTTTAATATTTAATCGAAACATTTTATGCAGTGTAGGCTCTAGCTTTACATGTCCAATTCTAAGGAAGCTATCGAAAACGAGACCAAGCTCTCAGGGGACGTGAATGATTGTTATTATTGACTTTTTTGTTCTGTTGATCATTGTTGGGTGTGCCGAAGTCTTTGTCGGTGTGTTGTAGATCTAAAGAAGAGCTTCAAACCAAATGAAGCACAAAGTAAGTTGATGCTGTCTCAAATAAGGCAGATTTAGTTGTAGAACTGCAGTCCTACCCGCGGGAGATACAGTAAATCCGTTTGAAAATAATTTTGCCAAGAAAATTGATAAAACCTGTTACGCAAGAATCTAGCATAGATCTACGCTTGAAACACCGAATATTTCTATGCTTAACAATTATATTAGAAAACTGGTCGCGCTTTGACGCCATATAAATACTCGAGAAAAATTATCGAGTGACAGAAAGGCTGGGCTCAAGGTGGAAAAGGACTGTCTGGTCTCTAGAGCTGCTGTCGCTGGTTTGTGCAAATTTTATTTTGACTTGCTCAAGTAAAACAAATCTTTTAAATATAACTCAAGCATTAACTGTTACATAAGACTGTTATCTTAAAAAAATACTGACAACTTTTTCTATTCTTGTACAGTATATGCAAAATTGATCTTGATAAGCAATAAGCAACATGCTTTCTTCAAAGGGTAAAATTATTATAATTATTAAGTCTAGTTTAATTGTTATGTAAAGTGCATATACAGTATATGGATTTAACATTTGACTTGTAAATTTTGTTTAATTGACATTTGGTTTGTTTTTATTCAGATAATCTAAAAATATAAGTGCAATGGGAAAAAGTAAAACGCGGGCTGTTTGAATAATGGCACCTTTCCAAAGACAGGTACAAGGAGTGGTACTCCTTATATTTCTCTTCTCGAGGCCTTATTTAATAGAATCACAGACCTACAGGGATTTCCCAAAGCTTTTTAATGCTGCACAGTTTAAGCCAATCTCAACCACACCATCTGGTTCAACATGTGGAATACCTACCCGCAGTGCCTATTGTAAAAGTTCTGTATATGAGAGCTCATTGAGCCGTTGTTTTCAAGACTTATGTGAACAGGATTGTCCTCGGAGAACTTCTCTGCCTTCTTATAGTAACCTTCTTCTGGCTTCCAATTTTGGAGATTGTGTTCATCGGGACACTGTGAATGTGCGGCCAGGGAACTCCAGCGAGGATTTTTCTTCTGTATTCAACAATGGGCCCCGCTGTTACCTGACACCTCTGCAGACTTCGGAGCTGGGTACTGAGGATGGAGTTCGTATGTTCACGTTAGCCGTGTGGATATGGCAGGAGACAGGGAATGAAGGGTAGGTTTTTTTGTACATCATAATTGTTCAGTTTAAGCAAAAGGTAAAAAGAAGGAGAAACTTATCATTGCTTTGACTTCATTTGTAGGCTGTGGAATAGAATATAATGCATGCTGGATGAATTTGAGATTTACAATTTTACCCCTCCTTAGAGCAAAAAATATGTATTTTTTCTTAAAATTGGAAATTGAGTTATATTTCAAAATTCATTCAATCAAAGGCCTTCTGTCTATTAGACTTTATACTACTTTGTTTAGAAGTCCTCTTTTTGCTCAAGGTCTTCATCTTGATCTCTTGATCCTTTTCTGCTGGTAGGTCAGAGTTTAGATTGGTTCACTTTTATAGATAGAACTAAATGGTATCTGTGCTGACGCTGATATATTCTCCCTTTGTTTTATAACTGTTTTAAAAACAAAGCAGTAGTTAGATAGTTAAGTAAAATTTGTTCCCTCGCCTTACAGGCATGGTTTTTCATTAAGTAAATAGATTATGTAACAATTTATTGTAGTGACTCACTATATTAGAACAAAATTGATTTTCTTAAGTAATGTTTCATTCGGAACTCCTGAAAAGATGATAAGAAAGGTTAAAAAGGGTGGGAGAGATTTTGGAAGTAACAAAAAATATTTTCAAAAGTAAAAAGAAATTTAAATTAAAAATTTTAGAAGGAGTGAGGTATTTGAAAATTGCAAGCAACTACTGTTGTGTTGTGTTTGAATGAAACTAAGTCCTCAATGATAAAAGATTAAGAGTCACAATGTTATCTTGGTGACATTCTCAACAACCCTTTTCAGTGCATATTATTGGTCTTCTTATGAATAGAAGTGGTATCTGTACATGTATGTATACAGAAGATTTTATTGAATTTTGATAGCACAGTTTGTACAAGTGTGGTTAGACTTGTTGTTCAAGTGTTTACAACAAGTGTTAGTATCCAATAGCAGATGGAGTCTGAGGGAAAACTGAGTTTCCACTTGACTATAATATAGGGTTGCATTCACAACCAGTTGATCAGGGGACTAACTAGTCCTTGGATCAAATATGGTGTGACCCACATGAAACTAAAAAGAAAGCATGCGAAGATTAAATTGCTCTGCCCCTGCTGGGATGGTCAACTTGGGAGGTGGGAATCCATTGTCAGGATACCTTGTGTGCCATATAAGATCTTCCAACAAGCCAGTCTGCATATCAGCTGGTTGCGAATGCAGCCGAAAATTATCAGGATGAAGTGTTGCTCCAGTTTAATGTTTATATAGGTTCTGTTTCTTAAAGTTAATAATTTGGCGTGGTCCTTAAACTTATCAGCCAACTGGTCACTTGGATCAGCTGGCCTCAGAAATCTACTAGTCTAAATTATTTTATGGAAAAATGATTTTACACAGCCATGTGGATTAGATTGGGCTAATTTTATGCTGTTGAATGAGGCTTTAGACTGATTCTAGATATTGAAAAGGCTTGAAATTCTTTGTATAAGCTGTCCTTAATTTTCAATAAAAAAGAATGTCATCTGTTTTTTTTTCTTTTGGAGATAAATGGTTAGGGAGGTCCATACTATGCATATTAATTTACAAGTAATATTGATAACTTTTCTATGAAGTCCACAGATACGTAGTACAGGCCTACAGAAAATATTTTACAAGGAATAGTAATATTATCAATTTTTTAAATACTAGCACATGACCACAGTATTCTTTGACATCATGGTTTATCTTTTCAGGACAATTTATCAGAAAGTGGGTGACAATTCAAAAACAATTCTTCAAGTGCGTGTTAGCAGCTCCAACATCCACATCTATTACAGTACCAGCAGTGGATTTTACCATCTCAAGTCCCTGGATTCTATACCAGCAGAGACCTGGACTCACCTGGGAATACAGGTAAGTGAAACTCGGCACCATGTTAATGTTTAGATAAATATAGATCAAAAATTTTGATACCACCCATATATTTTGAGTGCATACTTTTTTTACCTCTCTGGTTACCAGAATTTGCAGTGTATTGAGCACATGGTTAAATATAATAAATATATACAAAAATTAACTGGTTTTTGAATTTGTTGAATAAGAGGTTTGTTTACATTGTACTCTATGAAATTGTGATTTGATTGCCAGTAAGGGCATCATTTTAACACTATAAGAACCAAAAAAGAAAAAAAAATTAGTGTATGGATAGTTTTATCCTTGGTAAATAGTTGATTATTATGGAATTGAAAATAGAATCTCTGACAAGTCAGAGTTTAAAAGTAGTCAGGGTTAAAAGTAAAAGGGTTTATTTCAATATAGTGAAGTGTGTACATAACAGACAGACTCAGAGGACACCAACAAGAAAGTCAAAATTGATTTTTCAATCAATATTTGAATTACCCTCTCACCACTGCGTGATACATGGCCCATGTCTTGGAAAGAATTAATTACAGCACCAGCCATTCTACCTTGATTAATCTCAATTATTCATAAACTAATCTTATGATTGCTATAAGCTATCTATGGGGGCTTTAAAGTGTAGGGTGTGGTATTCTCTAACAAGAAAATAAATATCCATAGTTAATATGATATGATATGATATGATATGACACAATACAATACAATACAATACAACACAATACAATACAATACAATACAATACAATACAATACAATACAATACAATACAATACAATACAATACAATATATAAAATTTAAAATGCCATTATTTATGTGACATATACTGTACTAACAGCAGATATATATATAAGGAGTGATGTTATATAAGGAGGGGTTATATAAAAAGAGTAGTGTTTTTCTTATTAACATCTCTGCTGTTATTGCTGTATATATGTTGTGACTGTCATGAGAGTAACAATTTTTCATGATACATGATAGTACTGAAAAATGTATCCTTAAAGTTAGAATCATTGTTAGTATTTAAAAAAATATTTAAATATGAACTATGTAGCTGCATATTAAATAGCTTTTCTATTCTGGTCATGTATTTCATACTTAACTTATTACCACTATGTTTTAAATATTAACCATTATTTTGTATTGAAGGGGCGGATGGGTCACACTTTTTGTGTCATGAAACTCAACAAGTGCAACCATTTTGCCTGATCACCATGATCAGCTAACACACATACTCCTGCCATATTATCAAGATATGATAGGGTTTGATATTAAAGGTGCATATGAACTGATCTTTTTTTTTTTTTTTGCTTCAAAAGTGGACCATATGTCACAACATAGTTTAAAATAATATTACTTAGAGAAATACCAAAATACATCATCTGATATTACCCAAAAAATGATTTTTCTGCTTGCATTCTGTGCTTTATATAAATGGGGTAAATAAGTAGGTCAGATAAGTAGTTTAAGCTTACGACCAAAAATTTAAAGAAGGCGCAGTTTAAAGTGATCAACTTGGGTTCTTTATTTGAGTTGTATAAGAAACTAATATAAGTGTTTTATAGGTGTTACTGGGAATCCATGCCCCACCGTGGCTTGGTTCATATGTTCCTTTAAGTTCATATGTACCTTTAAGCTGCTATGTGTAATTTTATGGGTAATGCCCTAGTCTGTGTATTTCATACACCAAAGATTGTATGATTTATGATTCTGTTGGATCAACTATATTGATTGAACTACTGTGCATACATGCCCATGCATCACTTTGCTGCAGTACAGAAACAAATCAATACTTACCTTTGTGCATTGAGTGTTATTGTGCCATTGGGTCATGATTATTGGCAAGTTCTCTGTGAGCCACAGTTATATTAAGATTAGGTATTTTTTCTTTGTATTTTACCCTGTCCCCAAATTATGTCCTTTTGCCCCCATGGATGATATCTTCTACCTGGTCAACTTTAATGCCACACTGACAGAGTTTCCTTTTTAGTTTGTCACAAGTTTTAATTTTATTATATAATTATATATATGTGTGTGTGTATCTGTGAACACACAAACACGCAAACATGATCACACACACAAAATGAAAATAGCATCATCCGTTTACATATATGATAAACAATATAGTTAACACCAAAAGAAGAACCCCCCCCTCAACATTGACCCCTCCTCTGCCTATTTCAGGTCTATGGTACTGCTCTTAGCGTCTTCCTGAATGGTCTGGGTGTGGGTTTTGCTGCTAGTGATACGTACACGTTAGCGGGACAGATCCATAATGGGACAGCCACAGAAGTCAGAGTGGGACAAGCTGTGAATGGTGAGGACTTTTATTCTGTTTGATATTTTACTTGGGCAACTTTTGTCCTAGTAAAATATCAAGTATGGGACATGTTTGGGTTATGATAACTAATATGAAGTCATCTCAAATTACTAATAACTTCATCTTTGCCTTCTTTTCTCACTTGAACTTGACCAATGTTGATCATAAAATATATTTTCAAACAAGTAATTAATTAATTTTCTAATTAATACTCATTTAGAAAATTAATTTATTTTCTAAATGAGTATTAATTAACAGAAAACAGATAAAAAAATGTTGAGTGATATTTGTGTTGGTGTGATATTTGGTGGCTTTGTCTGTAAAGTTTAATACCAGGTGATTCCTGACAAGTATTCACACAAAAACCTGCTATCTCTCCCTCTCTGCTCTCTTTCTTTCTCACCCCCCTCTCTCTCTTTCTCTCTCTCTCTCTCTCTCTGTTGGTCAGGGTAGCAAATGTATTCATATCAACTTTTTTTTCTCGAATATTACAGGTTCGGACCAATTTCTAGGCCGTCTCCAAGACTTCAGGTTTTACCCCGTCACTCTCACCAACAGGGAAATAGAGGAGGTTACCAGTGGTGTGTTACCTTCTGTTCATCTCCAGACTGCCTGTCGGTGCCCTCCCTCACACCCTCGGGTCAAGCCTTTCAGGAGCAGGTTCTGCATAAAGAATGGGGTTCCAGACAACACAATAAACCAAGTGCTCAGGTTGAACAATTATTCACACCCCTTGGAGTTTCTCAATGATGGTGACGGTAACAGCATCTGGGTGTCATCTTTCTTAGATGATGTGACCATCACAATAAACCTTCAAGATGAGTTTCAGGTATATAGTGGTCTTGATGTGAGAAAGATTGCCTGTAAAATAAAGTTGACAGTACGTCAGCTAGTTAGACCAAAAAATTGTTGAAATTTTAAAACGTGAACAGGTTGGTTTGGTTAAAAGTAAAAGCTTTTCTTTTTGACTGATTTAGACACAATTTATACTAGATTTTTTGCTTTTACACTTGTGTTTATTTCAACAAATAATGTTTTTTATGTAGCATATATATATATGTTTATGTATGTGTGTGTCTCAGGCCAGATTGAAAGCCAGTCACATTTAAATTGGCCTATCCTGGGCCACAACACAGTTTTTCAGGATTTCTACATAGTGATATGATTATTCTTTCAGGTTTTCTATGTAGTTCTCCAGTTCTACAGTCCCCTGCCCACCACTGTCACCATAGAGCGTAAGAGAGCAGGGAGCCCTGTGTGGGAGAGATGGCAGCTGTATGCCAGTGACTGTAATGCAGTGTTTGGTCTGGACAATAATGGCCCTCTGCCCAGTCCTACCTCTGTCAACTGTCTGCAGTTTGGCTCGTGAGTTATGCACTTTTATTATCCTATTCGTCAGAAGATTTTAATATTTTTTGATATCCCAGCCAATTGCTTTATTCATATATTGCTTGTAAGTTTGGGAAATAAATCACACATGCCAATAGTCAACTTGTGTTCCCTGACTGCAGTTTTCATCAGGCCTCTGCCTTGACCAGCTGTTCTCAGTATGGCTGATAAAATGTGTTGAGCCCAATGTATAGCTCCAATCCACTCATTGTGTGTACTTGGAAGTTATCTATCAAGATTCAGAGTGTAGTGGAAGCTTGACCCTGTATTACCTATGTCATTTCCAGTTGCAACTTTGACAGAAAGTGTATAAAGATACAGGGTAGATGAGTCGCTGCCAGTTAACCAGTCTTGTATATATTTCAATTAATTGTCTACATGCATGAAAGACCTACAAACACGAATTGACACACACACGCAAGCACACACGTATGCATGCACACACACACACACACACTGCCAACCTGGGCTCTGTAACTCGAAGCATTGAAATTTGCAAATCGTGATATCACCTTTTATTTTGAGGCTATTATATGGGGCGAGTAAATCCTGAGTTATGCACTGTTCTTTCGAGTTATGGAGCCCTGTTGTCTGTTATGATTGTTGTCACACAGACTTCATATTTGAATCTTGCTGTCACCAGGAGCAGCCTCCCATTGCCTTTATCCAAGGGGAATGTCACATTCAATCTGCTGGCCCCAGAGCCTGTCCCCAGACCAGGGCATAATGACTTCTACAATACACCAGACCTGTACCAGTTTGTCAAGGCATCACAAGTGAGAGTCAGACTCCAGGGCCACTTTAATGTGACACAGAGCAGGCACCGCTACTATGGACTGCAGGAGTATATAGTCACTGCCAGGTAAGGCTATGTGATTTTTTAAAAAGGTTCTATATTAGGTTCAACATTTTAATTAAGAAAATAATATGATAATAACAAACAAACAAACAGAAAAGATTGGAAACAGGGGCGTAACCAGGCATACGCACGGATGCACTGTGCGTACAATTTTTTGAGCCAACCATGATATTATTCTCCATAAATTCAGTGTATTTTTCACAGAATATAATCGTATCTGTGAATTTTCAAAATCTGTGCGTACAATTTTAAAAGGTCTGGTTACGCCCCTGGGAAATAATGTTGTAGTGATAGAGTGAGATTAGTGTTTCAAATGCATGTACCATTTATTTCTGGAATAACATATACAGTGTACTTGTGCAACTTGAGTTCTAGATGTGATATGCTATTATATACCAAATATGAATACATAAGTGCTACATATTACATATATTTACAATACCTGAATCTTCCCTCTGATATTCCTGATATTGACCTGTTATTAATCTTCCTGAATTGTTTCAGATGTCAGTGCCATGGTCATGCTGAAGACTGTGATACCTCCACCAGCCCATATAGATGTAACTGTTTACTGGATAGCCACACAGAGGGCAATAAGGTAACAGTGCTTATTAGATTATTATATTACTATATTATTACTGGATAGCCACACAGAGGGCAATAAGGTAACAGTGCTTATTAGATTATTATATTACTATAGTATATTATTACTGGATAGCCACACAGAGGGCAATAAGGTAACACTGCTTATTAGATTATTATATTACTATATTATTACTGGACAGCCACACAGAGGGCAATAAGGTAACACTGCTTAGATTTATACTATTATTATTATTATTATTATTATTATTATTATTATTATTATTATTATTATTATTATTGTAAGTATAACAAGTACAAAAGGCAATTTTTACACACACACAGTGACACACACACACACACACACACATACAAATTAATTAATTAAGGTTACATGTACCATGAAATAATGATGGTAAGTTTTTTTAACATCCATTATATAACTATATATTGTAGTTGCTTTTCTAAATACAACACTTTATCCTATTTGAACATCAATGATTTGTGAGTTTTTTAAATTTACGACCAATCTCAAATTGTTTTTCTAAGTGTAAGTCGTGCAGTCCATGGTTTGTAAAAACAACTATTTAGGAAACTTCTCCTATAGAAAATTTTCATTTTCATATCCATTTCCACATGCTCTTTCAGTGTGAGCGTTGCCAGCCCCTGTATAATGACAAGGCCTTCACAGTGGGGGATCAGCTCAACCCTTACAACTGTAAACCATGTCAATGTTACAACCATGCTTCATCCTGTGTGTATAACAGGACCCTGGACCCCTACCCTGACGAGCACAACAGGGGAGGAGGCGGAATGTGCATCAACTGCCAACACAACACCAGAGGACAGCACTGTGATCGTTGTATCGTGGAGTTCTATAGACCATTGGGTAGGGTTCTCATTATTTCTTACAATCTTAAATCAGTATTTTTTTTAGACTTAGTTTTTTCCATTAAAACTGTGATGAATGTTATTTACTGTTTATAAGTACATTTCAAAGGTTTAAACATGTAGGTGTAGTTAAATTTGAAAAAAAAAACATAATTAATGATAAATTATTTGGACTTTGGATGATAAGACATGATTTTTGTTAATCTACTGTAATAGGCCAATGATTAAAACTTGGTTTCCCTCAATCAGAGATTTTTATTCACCATTTAGTTTACTTTGCTTACACTTTCGGTTTTCATAATCAACTTGTTAAAATTTATTATTGCCTTTATAAAATCAAATATCCCAAGCATGGGATTGGAAACTTTTAAAATTGAAAAGACATTCTTTATTCTTAACAGCAATTTATGTTTTATTCCAGGTAAAAGTTTGTTTGATGTAGATGTGTGTTCTCCCTGTGGCTGCTATGCTGGGGGAGTACTCAATGGGAACATGGACTGTGAGAAGGTACACACACAGATTCTACACATCAAAAAGAATAGCGTATAGATAAATAAATCTTTTGAATGTATGTAGAGTAAGGATTTCCTATCCTAATAAATCTATGCGTAGCATTTAGAATATGGACTTCTTATCCACTCCAAGAACAGTATCAGTGTCTCTTTATCTTTTATTGAACTCATTCCAGGAGGGAGGGCAGTGCTACTGTAAGGACTATGTAGGTGGCAGGCAGTGCAGTGAGTGCAAGGCAGGGTACTTCAATCTCCAGCCCAGCAGTGACGTAGGCTGTGAGGCATGTAACTGTCACACTGATGGTACTGTGGGTGGAAGCATTAGTTGCCATGCCACAACTGGGCAGTGTAACTGCAAGGCTAATGTTAGAAGTAAGTTATAATTGTGACTTAATTATTACAAAAGTTTGTTTTTTTTCTTCATTGCTTCAATATTTCAATGTCTGTCAAGTACCTCTTCTTCAGGAGCTAAGTAACTGAGTTTAGAAAGAATTTAGTAAAAGAGTGCCGCTTGTTTTTGATTTGATCACTTGATTGTATTAGATTTTTATACAAGTTTATCTTTAAATGCTTGTTTTGCTTCAGTTTTTTTTCAATGTGTTATTTTGCAAATTAATTCATATTGTCTAGAAAATATACAAATATTATTTTAAAAAAATTAAGCAATGCACTGATATGATTTTGAAAATGGATATTGGTTAAGTTACATGCATATTATTAAAAAAAGGTTACTCAAAAATAAATATAATTAATAAATATTCCCTCTCTTTTTAGACTTGAAATGTGATGCCTGTAACTTTGGCTTCTTCAACCTGACTTCTACAAACCCTGATGGCTGCAGCCCATGCAACTGTGACCCCCTGGGCTCCAATGACCAGTACTGTGACCCCACCACTGGCCAGTGCAGGTGCAAGGACAATGTGGTGGGAAAGCAGTGTGACCGCTGTAGTGACGGCTATTACGACTTTGAGGGAGGCTGCAAGCCTTGTGGGTGTGACGTCCAGGGAACGGTGCCCAATACCATGTGTGACAAGGTCACTGGTCAGTGTGTTTGCAAGGCCAATGTGGAAGGGCGCAGCTGTGACCAGTGTAAAGAAGGGTTCTTTGACTTTGGACGAGATGTATCTGTGGGCTGCTCCAGTTGTGACTGTAATCTTGCTGGCACCCTGAACAGCTCCAGTCTGTGTGACAAGGCCAGTGGGAACTGTGAGTGTAAGAGCAATGTTCAGGGCAGGACTTGTAACCAGTGTCGTGGAAACACGTGGAACCTGAACCTGACCAATCCTGATGGGTGTGAGTCATGTGATTGTGATGTCACGGGCACACAGGAAGGCAACGAGAAACCGCCCAATGAGCTGACATGTGACCAAAACTCGGGGCAGTGCACCTGTCTATCACAGCGGAGGGGGAGAAGGTGTGAGGAATGTGAATCTGGTAATGAAACCCTTTCTTATTTACTGAACATGAGAAAAATTACACATGATCAGTGTGCAAGATGTTTTTTTATTTGGAGCAAATTTTTAAAATATAGAATCAAAAAATGGTTATAAATAGTGCATATGCCATTGTCCATTAATAAAAAGATTGTATTTTACATCATATTAAGAATTTTTCTTTTTTTCATTATACAGTTATTTTTTCCTAATTAATCAATTTGTTTTAAAGTTTTTAAGTAGAAGTAATGTGACCAAATCTCTTAATGAGACAAGTTCATCTTTTTCATATTTTTTTCGAAAATATATGACATTTCTAATGCCTTGGTATTATCAAATTACCACATAGGTGGTCGGTACAAGAACAACATGCTTTGTGTTTAATGTCTTCAACTGCATATAACTCTCTCATGGTTCAAGGACAATTATATTCATCTGTATTTTGTGTCTTAGGTTGGTACATCAACAACGTCCCTGGTGGTGGCTGTCTGAACTGTGACTGTCACCGGCAAGGTGCTATCACTGGAACTGTGTGTAATTCTGTCACTGGCCAGTGCCAGTGTAAAGCACAGGGGTCAGGGGTCACAGGAAGGAGGTGTGACACCTGTCAAGACAAGTTCTATAATTTTGACCCTGGAAGAGGAGAGTAAGTTTATTGTTGGGTTGATTTATTGGTTAAACAGACTGCCACATTTTAATTTTTTTTTCGTTTTGGTATTGCCAGGTGAAGTACATCACCACTTATAAAAACTAAATGCACTGAGTTAGATAAAGTAATGTATTTCATTAATTTGAGTCTTCTTCTTTTATTCAATCTCAATAGCATCTAATATTCTGATAGTCTGTTACTAATGTTATGTCCCATGCTAAAAACAAGCATAAAAAGCCAATCAGTAACATTGAACAACATGCATTGTTCCCCCCTGCCCCTCCCCCCCCAAAAAAAAAAATTGTTTTATGAGTTAATGTTGATTTTAAAAAATTTAAAGTTAAGTGAGGTGTTTAAAAAATTAAGTAACAACTGTAAAAGTTGAATTCAATAGTAACACATTCTGTGATAATTTCAGATGTGAGCCATGTCGCTGTAACCCAGCTGGTAGTTTGAATGACACATGTCATGCTATGACAGGGCAGTGTGAATGTAAAGAGTTTGTCACCTCCCTCAAGTGTGATCAGTGTAAGCCAGACTCCAGTGTACTGGAGGCTGAGAACCCTTATGGCTGTAGTAAAAGTAAGTACCCTCAGAAGACTTTGTGTGTGTGTGTGTGTGTGTGCTTGGATTTGTGTGTGCTTGGATGTGTGTGCTTCTTGTGTAATAAAGCTTCAAAACCTTAAACAATTAAAAAAAAATGGGGTTTACTTACTTGGCGCTGCATAGAAAAGATCATGTTCATCCATGTATGCGTAAATGCATATGTTGTCCCATTGTGTTAAGGCTGAAGGCTGCAATTGATCTAAAAACTTTGATAAAATAGTGTTTTTTCTTAATAAGTAATATAACCCAAGGACAATGGTATTTGTGTTTTTTAAAGCAGGATTAACATGTATGTCTCTCTCTTTCCCCCCCAGCACCTCAGCAGCAGCCACCGCCAACCTATATGGTACTGAATGCCACGTCTCTACGTATCATGTGGGGTCCACCTGACTATCCCAATGGGGTCATCCTCACCTACTTCCTGTTTAGAGATGGGCAGCAGGCTGCAGCTCTAGACCCAAATGGTAGGTCTTGGGAGAATGGGCAGTAATGTCAGAGTGTTTGTTTTTATTTAAAAAGTAGATTTTAATTAGATGATCATAATTGAGTCTTGACTATGTATTGATAATAATAATGAAGGCGCCAGAATGAGTTAATAACTGCTCCATTTTTCTGCTAGAAGCATAGAGTTTTGATAAGATATTGATCAATTGTAAAGGGCCGTGAATCATTGATGCTTTCAAAAAGACAAAATCATTCCAGATACCTGCATGAAAAGGCAGATATGTTGCATGGTATATTTATTTGATTAGTCATAAATAGATAAAAGACAGTAATTATTGAACCGCATGTAGATATATCAAGCATTTAACTAATATATTTATTTATGCTTTGTTATTTCTTGCAGTAACCCAAGGTAAAGATTATTGTTCACACTTTGTAATAAAGTACATGTGCACTAAGAGTAGCATAATATCCCTTGTGTCAGCTTTCTACCCCCTGATCACCAAGACAGCTGTGTGATTGGAAAATCTGAGGTTCTGAATGCTAATAATATATATATTTTTCATTAATGAATATCTAACAATTTCAAGCAAACATTCATTTATGTTGAAGATCAATCAAAATGCTATTTGAATTATAGTATTACATGAATGTCAGACAGAAAGAAGTTGAAGCAAAGATTTTTCAGCTAAATTATGATTTTCCAATGACATTGTCTTATAACTTAATTGCCTATTAATATTTGATGCCACCACCTTGTAATTGGATGCACTCCTATGTATAACACACCTCTTTCTCCAAACCACATCCTAATTCATGCTAGTATTCTAGATAGTCACACATAATGTAATTAGTAATATGCTAAGCTCTCATTATTTCTCAAGATCTATTGTAAAAATTGTATAATCATGAAATTTTGTCATGAAGTTGTCTTGATCTACCCAGTCTTAAAAGGTTCTGGGAGCATAGCTTCTCTATATAACTTTAGTCCACTATGTGCTACATATACCATGCATGTAATTAGTCTAGCATAGCAGCTCTGTGGGATCTTACATATTGCCTCAGTGTCTTTTTCAGCTTTCAGGTTAGACACACAATATAATGAACACTTAAACTCAGAATCGTGCATATAACACATAGATTTAAAAGCATATTTTCTATTGAAAACCCCCTCCTTTTCCTTACAATTATTTCATGTTTGATGTTGTATACGTAATTTGAAATATGTATATGAATATTACTTGTGTTTTTTCTACATGTATGGCTACTGACAAGTTTTTATGTAAGAACTAGTTGAAGTATTCTTCTGCAAAATAAATAAACTGTATCAGGGTTGAATATCCTCAAAGTATAGTTTGTACTTGCCTTTATAATATTTTTTTAATAGTGAGGATATTTGCTTAATTGTATTGCCTCTTTAGCAAACACAAACTGCCTCCATTTACAACAAAACTTAAGATTACCCGAGTCACTTATAACACAAGTGCTTTGTGTTTTCATATATATATAACAATAATATACCACACAACCATATAAATACAATCATTGTTCCCTTCCAGTGCTGGAGTACAATGACACAGGCCTGGTTCCCTTCACAGACTATGCGTACTATGTTCAGGCAGTGAACAGACATGGTCTGGTACAGAGCCCAGAGGCTGTCTTCAGGACACCTGAAGGTAAAATATGGACTTGATGTCAGGTGCCATAATCCCCAACACCAGATCTAAGACACACCTGCTTCTGTATTTGCAAATTTCCATAGCTGATTGTAAAAGAAAAACATTTTGGGACATTTCTATCAACCAATTATGTTCTGATAAAAATACACTTCTGTAAATTAAATTTTGACATTCTTCCATGGCCATTATTGTTTAAATGAACTGTTTATAAAGAGATTTTCTTTTGTATCTTTTGAAGGTCCACCACAGGGCAGATTTGACCTCATGGTCAGTAATGTCCTGGTAAACACAGCTGACATGAGGTGGACGCGACCAACTGACCCTAATGGCCTTGTTCTCCTCTTTACCCTGACCTCAGTGACCCCCTCTAACCCTGATGTACCTCTGGTACACTTCAACAGTAAGTGGGCAGGGAAATGTGGACTTCTCTTTGGTAGCATTGATAGATTTCCATTTACACTACAAATTCACTTATGTAGGTCAACCCAGCAAGTCATTGCCAAATACAAGTTTCACACACCCTGGGTTTCATAATCTTTAAAAAAAACTGAAATAAGACTCAGCACATGCACATGATGGTATAGAGGACAATCACTCACTCTGTAGATGACTGTTGGAATAAAAGAAAAAAGTCAAGTTGAAATATGAAAGAAAATAATATAATTTTTTGTGAAATCGGTTTTTCAGACTTCCCTTTTCTTTACAGAAACAGAGGAATTTGAGACCCGGCTGACGGACCTTATCCCATACACAAACTATACCTTCACCATCACAGCTTGTAACCTGGGCGGCTGCCTGAGTGCCGCCCCAGTGTGGGCAGTGACCAGGCAGGCCGCACCCACTGGACAAGGGTCACCTAATGTCACAGCCATCAGCAGCACTGCGTTCTATGTGGAATGGAAACCTCCTGCTTTGGCTAATGGTAAAACTGTTTTCTCTTTTGGTAGATAAGAAGATATACACATGACACAAAATTTGCAATTACAGTATTTCCTTTTTGAACCTGTCTTTTTTGTATGTGAATCTAGAAATAGATTTAAGAGAAAATGTAGATGTAGAATTTTGCCTTTTTCTTTTTGGTCTTATTATCTTTGAAGAGTCCATTATGTAAAGATTACTGTAACTACCAAAATCTAAGACTTTTGAATAATTGTCAAGAGTACCACTGTTTTTGGGACAATTAAATTTTAAGCAGTTCAGAATTTTAAATTGTAAATCACCTTACGATAACAGACACAACACTGTTTTCAGGTATCATCATCTTCTATGAGCTGTGGATGCAAGGTATCCTGCAACCTGATGGATCTCGTAACCCTCCCCTCAGCCGAATCTTCCACCCTGCAGGCCAGTACAACCCTCGGCCCACTGTCACCCCCCAGGAAAATGCTCTGGTCCCCCCTAGCACCAACTTCACGGTGACGGGACTTGAGCCTTACACGGAGTACGAGTTCCTGGTGCTGTCACAAAATGATATTGGGAAGGCCTCCAGTCCGTGGGTTGTGGCAAGGACTCTGGAAGCAGGTAGGGAGGAAAAATAGTGCAAAATTTCTTTAGCTTCATAGGCTTGTTTCTCTAAAAGATAGAAAGGGCTTAGCTTAGACTGCTTAACTTGGATAGCCAACTACATAGAATTGACTTTTCAATATACCTGAATGAAGTAAATGTAGTAAATTTATTGTGCTTGCTGTTGGCACCAACTTTCTGAGGATAAGTTACATGAACAAACACAATCAGAATTATGGTAAATTATGGCGACTTACAGTATAACATATATGATAGACAGGTTCAGATCAATAATACAAATATGTTTCTTTCTGGACTTGTAATGTCTGTCAGTAGATGGTTACTATGAGTTTGTGCTGACAAATCTTCCTCTTCTGCACTTCACTTAGTTTCTCACCAGTTGCAACAATCATCAGTTAAATGACATTTAAGAATTGTTTCATTCCAGTGCCCCTCTCCATGCCTCCTCCAGTGATATCTCCTGTCTCCAGCAGTCAGCTGAATATCACATGGACTTCCCCTGAGGAAAGACAAGCCAGGGGGATTATTGTCCAATACAGGATATATGAGAGAAAAGTGACCAATTTGACACAAAATCCCTTTGCTCCTCCATACTATCAAGAGGTATGTATGTTTGTATGTGAACAGTATAAAGTTGGGTGGCAAAAATTATTAAGAAATTTAAAACTACTTACTTATTCGAAATAGTATGGTTTTTCAAAAATTATTTACTTAAAAGACTGATCATGTTTATATGAAAAAAAAAACAGAAAAATCTTCATTGCAAATTAATTACATTTGCAAAGCATATATACTGAAGCATTTTTCCTAGCTATAGTAGTAGTAGTATAGTGCTTATCTGAACAATGTGTATGTACATTTTTTTTCTAGTTAGTACATACTGCCCCAGGAACTTCCGAGTTCTTTCTCCATGGTGGTTTAGCACCGTACTCGTACCATGAGTACATGGTGGAGGCCTGTAATAGTGTGGGATGTGTGAACAGCACTAGTGTCAGAGAGAAAACACTCGCGGCACGTAAGTCAGCAGTGTCATCTTGATATTTTACTTTCTCGATCATGTACTGGCAGATTCATGGGGTACAGGGGTACAGGGGGCACTTTTTCCTTTACTCCCCTCATCTTTGAGCTTAAAAAAAATGCATCATTGCACAGTGGTAATAGTTTACCTTTAGTGTTGATTTTGCCATAAAAATGATATACTTTTGCTTAAAAAATTTGATACCTAATCCCTATTGAAAGCTATTCATTACCTACAACTTATGATCTTTTCCAGCACCACGTGGCCAAGGCAAGCCAAGTGTGATTGGCTACAATATGTCCACCATGGAAGTGAAATGGTCACCCCCACAGGAATTCAATGGACCTGCACCTCATTACCTGGTAGAAAGGACCAGCACTGCCTTCAGTTACCCTCCACTCAGAGTGGAATATGGCACACGTTTTCCAGGGGGAGGCTATTACAAGTTCCCTCCAGAAACTCTGAAGCAAGGTGTTGGCTTCACAGGTGGGGCAGAATGCTTGGCTTGGACAAACAAGACAGAAATATTCTTTACTGAAATCTAGACATATGTAAATACTCTCTGGTAAAATTTTGAAACATCATGGATATGCAAAGTCACTAAATTAAAATCAGCATGCAAACATTAAAATAATTTCATTATTTAAAGGAATTGGGCAGAATTCACATGTTTGTTTCACCATCTCAAAAAGTCTGATCTCAGAGTTTTGAATAGGTTGATTTTTTGTTGCATCTCCACAATTGTTTTGATGCTTTGATGCTGCATGTGTTTTAAATGTAGACAGTTAGAGGTATTTTCAGTAAATTTTATGAACTCAAATCACTCATCAATATGTTTTCTCTGATATTTCAGGTGTTGACTTGTGGTTTAAGACATCAAACCTTCATGGTCTGTTGATGTTTGCTGCCTCTGAAGGTCAGCAGGAGGAGTTTATAGCTCTACAACTCAGAAATGGAAGACCCTGGTTTTTGTTTGATCCACAAGGTAGGATTTTTACCCTTTATATTTTCCAGCCATGCATTGCTTTCAACTTTTTAATGCTAGATTTTTAAAGTAGGCAGATTGCTTTGATATGTTTTTTAAGACTATTTTTATTAAAAAGAACAATAGCAGTTATACTTTTTAGATTTATGTACTTGAATGTTTTTGATATTCTTTTAAGGAAATGTGGTGCTATAATAGATGAAAAAAGTTTTACATGACTATTTAATGACCATCATATGATAATAAGGTTGAACCAGTGAAGCCATGGTTCTGAATTTTGCTGGGTGCCAAACTCTTTATTTCTAACTCTGCAGTTACAGGAAATACTTCTTAAAATATCATGGATAGAGTAAATTCATAATTATATAATTATAGCCCCAGAATTATTGCGTGGCACAGGTAAACAACACAACTGTTCAGATTATATATGTGTGAATATATATCCTAGTTGTAGTTGAAAGAGTTCTGATCTGGGCAGGAGGAGAAAACTCACTAATGCATCACCTTATTCCTGACGTCATGTATAATACCCAGCTTCCCACATGAGCTTATGACACACCTTATATATAATTTCAAACAAAATCAGACTCACAAAGTTTCACTTTTTACTATCCCATCTGGCAACTGCCCAATTATACAAAATACCTAGAACTGACACAATTAACCCCAGTTTTACACATGAATTGTTGAAGGAGATAAACGTTTGATTTCATATATCAAAAGAAATAGGTTGGTTAACTACAGTCACATGAATTTTTATCATTCTCACAAACTTGTTATTTGTAGAGAACTTTAGTATGTTGCACAGTGTGGAACAACTATTATTTTACCTTGAAATCAACACATGCTGCAAACACAGTCACCACATTTCTTTTACACCAAACACAACGTGCTGCACTCTGTTTCATCAAACACGAAGGGTGACCCTCAAGCACACTTGATACAATTCACTGTGCTGTGGTACCTTATGCACCATATGTTGTCACATCTAATACAATGACCAACACATGCAAACACATTCATTTCACATTGTTGGTAGTAATCACCTTGATCTTAGATATTTTAGTAACCTAACTGGAAATGCCCAGATCAGAGCTCTTTTTTCATATCTCCAGGATTTATTAGAGAATGAAAGAATGGGTTCATTGAAGAATAGATCCTTTTCAACTCTTTTAATATTTGAAGAAGTGATGTATATATTTTAGGGACATCGCTTAAGACACCTAGTTCCAATGTCACTCACTGCCTTGAATAAGAAGGCATACTAATTAAAGCAACAGTTTTCACTTTTCTGATTGCATTTTAATAAGAACTGCATTGGTATGTTTAGACTTGAACCTTTTTATATTTGCATCATGGTTTCAGACGTTGGTATGTCTTGAATCGGCATGCAGTAGTAGACAGATGTGTTCACCAACTTAAAGACTTATAAATATACAAAGAGTCCATTTAGATTTAAATCCCTAAAGTTATAAACAGATGGTATACATGTATGCCAAGAAGAGTTCATTTTACCCAGTAGTAAAACAAGATGGTGAACATATTGAGAATATATATATCTTACCCTGTACAGAATCACTATAAATGCAATGTAGATATTCACAAAGAGACACACAATTGTCGGTAACCTGTCAAATGACTGCATTCCATTCACAAGTACATGTAGCAGGCATGCTAATGTTTCACAGATACACCCTGTGGTTCAGAGCCATCTTCAGTGATGGCCTAAGTGTTATGTTATAGAGAGGTGAGTCACAGTTATACCCTGCATCTTAGGGTGCACAGATATTATCCTGTCAAAGAAATATGCATATGCAAATGATTGGGTTCAATTGTTATTAGATAGAATGCATGAATTAGCTGTCACTCACTCATCAGTCATTATATAAAGAAATCATTTATATTAATCACCTACTACCTAGAAATAATTATGTTATTGAATGTATGTATTTAGTATTTCACTTTCAGTGATGAAATTGCGTTCACATTTTCACCTGCAGCAACCGTAGTGATATCCTTCACAGCAGAAGCAGCAGCAACAGTAGCAGTAACACTGCAAAACAACAGCAGCAACAACCATAAACAATACTGCACCTTGATGTAACATTGTTACATATTTTACATGTACAACCATGTTGTTGATGTCTCTTTTATTTCCGTGATAGGCTGCGTGGCTTACTTGTCACCAAATGAAACCATTGACGGCAACCGAACGTACACAGATGGTGAATGGCACCACATGATCGTTAGGCGCAGAGGCCTTAGTGGATCTATCGTAATAGATGGCATGTTTGCAGGTTAGACAGTAGGAGTGCAGTGAAGGCTTTGGTAGAACTCCTGTTGGCTAGCATATCTGAGTTATAGGAGTGCAGTGAATACTATTTAGATCCCCGTTGTTGACTATGACCTCTGATACATACTAATATGATTTGTGAGACTAACCTCTATCAAGAGTGACTAGAGTATTGATAGTCCAGCTGTGGTTCCTCTCTGTATTATCTTTATCCTTTGTTCTCTTAATACTTTCTCAGTTAATAACTTGTCTGTAATTTTTCTACTATTACATTGTTTTAGTTTAATTTAAAAGTAGGCGTCTACAATATGACACTACTATCTTATCTTTGTATCTTTTCTACAACTAAAATATTACCTGTACTTTTTTCCTTTAACAGTTTTTCTTTATAAAATATTTCTGTTATTTCCCCTACATTCCCAGTGGTATACCATAGTGTTACCTTAACCCTATGTTTCCTTGCTTCCAGGTGGAGAACCTCTATCAAATGGTACCCAGACTGTTTCTTCTATATCTGTGAACAAGCTCATCTTGCTTCTTACCAGATAGGAGATTGGAAAATATTGCAGCACTTGCCTATTTTGTTAAGTTTCTTCAAAAAAAGAAAAAAATTAATAGATAAAAAAATTCTTTGTCACAGAGTTTCTTAACTGGTGAAAGAGATGAGCTTGGTCAACTGAAGATGTCACCCCATATAATCACTAATCATTTAATCAATCAATCTATTGAGCTATCACTAATCCCTTCATCCCATCATAATCCACCTCAGGTTGCTCTGCTATAGTCACTACCACAGATGACGAGGGTTTGCCGTATCATGATGGTTTATGGCACCATTTAATAGCCAGGCGAAATGGCAAATATGGAAGCATAGAACTAGATGGGAAATGGACAGGTTGGACAGATATTATGGGATAGATATAAGCATTATGGGATGGAAAAATTAGGGCATTGTTTTTTAAGCCAAATTTCTGTAGATATGTCCCGTTTTGCATGTGACAGCGGGAGGGTCACGCTTTAGTTGTTTATGACACATTTTAAATGTATATTTTAAATGTATGCCATTGTTTTATTTGCTTGATTTATGCACAGGCTGTTCTTTTTATGAAAATTGATTCTTTCTTAAATATTTGGCACTTCTTTGAACAGCTATATGTTGCTCTAGGTATAGTCAAAAAACAAAAGGACAAAAAAAGAAAAAAAATTAAAGGCAGAAGGAAGGAAAAATAATTGTTATTTTTTAGAGCAATCTCATCTGAGACATGCCACAATTTTGATAAACTATACATTGATCCAGTTATAGTCAAATGATAAAAAACGAGAAAAATTAAAAATGTAAAAATGTAAAATGACAATAAATGTCAATGTTATTTGTATAGAGATCATTACAGTTCGTAAGACAATTATGTGAATGTCCAATGGAAAAAATTGTCAACAGGTCTTGGCTGTTTTTTATAATTATCAAACAGTCTCTTCTGATTCGTCTAAAATTATTCATTTCTCCCTCACCATCTGAGTGCTAATATCTCATATAAACTGAAATGTTTTTAAACTATTTCATATTCTTTCACCACATCTTATTTATTCAATATATGCCTGCACAGTCCAATACAAACCATATCATCTTTTTATCACATCTTTGCTTAAATCACAAAACTGCTTCATACAGAACTAGAATCCCATCTGGTTCTATGGCTTTGATCAAGGCAACATATACCAATTAGCATTGGCATATATATTGTTATGGATGATTTTCCTTGTCTGTGGAACCTCTTCCACCTCTGCTTTATAAATAATGAATTTCAATTGTCTAGGCTTTACAGCAATTGTGAGGGTTTTCCCTAGGGAATAAAAATCAATCTGTAGGTGCATTTTTGGTCATGTTGGATATGTTGCCATGGTCCAAGCACAATTAGTCGTAAATTTTTGCATCACTCTTGCATGCTGCATGGCTGTAATTAAGTCCACCTATTGATTGCTGTGTGAAGTGTAGCTCGTCAGAATGCATGAATAGGTCACAAGCTCAGTCCATATCTCAATTTTCAGCCCACTGGTCATTTGGGTTTGTTGACCTTGGATGACTGGTTATCCAAATCAAAAATTTACCAGTCTGAAGTTGGAGTTTTTTGATGATGGAAAATCAATCTAAAACAGCAGATTAATTTCCGCAAATCTGGTTGAACTTGTAATTTGGAAAAAATATCAGTGCCAGGCCAAATTTTCTGGACAGTTGCTGCTAACATCACAGAATGATGTCCTGTCACACCTTGTGGTTGCTATTTAAAGGTATTTTTTCATACAATTCTGGCATGTTTTGATATTTTAAAAGTAAATAATCCAATTATAAATTTTCATGTTCATTTGCATGATCTATTGAAAATATGACAAATGATCCAATTTTTGAAATTCTACATTTGTGTGTCATAATTCAGTAAAGGGTTCATGAATTTATCTTGAGGTTAACATTTTGCTAGTTAGTGTTTAACTGTATATAATTTCTGATATGATGCATCCTAACAATTCTAGGCTGTATTGTAGTGTAGTATTTCCCCTTTTGCACATTTTCACCTAATTATGCAATGTATTTTTTCTATTAATATGTTGTTGTGTGAACAGTTTTTATGTAGTAAGTTAATATTTTTTATTTTCCCAATGAAAATAATTGCAGTAATGAAAATATTGCATTGTAATTTGTGCTTAACAATTGTATTGAAAAAAAAAAAAGAGAATGATCAATATGAGGTATTTGATATTTAAAATGTACTGAGTTAATATCATCATATTTTGTTGTTTAATATTTTACTAGTTGCCAGTAATAAAAAAAGCTTAGAAATGATTTAATATATATTGTTTCCTTGCATAATGCAATGACATGACATAATGCAATGCACAATTCTAGAGATCTCCATCTTATTTTGCAAAAAAAAAGAAAAAAAATAACTTAATATATTTTTTAGATTTTAATTAGTTATTATAGCAAAATTCTAAAGAAAAATATTCATATAATAAAATGTGCACATTTAATTTTGAAATTTGTTACAAGAAGACACGATTCTCATGGAACACAAAGTTGTGAAAAACATGCAGGGAACTTAACAGAGAAGTTGCTGTTTCAGGCTCTAAGACTAGTGAATGTGCCACTGGGAACATTATAGGCAGTAACACTGGGTTGTACATAGGCGGCCTTCCCAGAGAATTCCAGATAAAGAGACCTGAGAGAGACTGGAGAGCCAGGGTATGGTGGAAGATAGTATTGATAGATGTGTGGGGAGATTACACAGCATGGTGGAGTAGCCATACCTTTCAATCCCCTTATGTCTGCAGAATAAACTTTTAAAAATAAACCTTTTAGACATGAAAATTTGTTTATAATTTATAGCCAGAGTGGGTAGTCAGGGGTGAAGAATCTCCACTCCTTTCATCTTTGTTTACTACCCACATTTTGGGTCTCCAAGAGTACAACAAAATATTTTTTAAAAATCTATGGATATTTAACTAAGAGGTATGGCTGCTCACAATTGGGATTTAGAAAGGTTGTACATATTAAAGGCCTTGGCATGTGGATGACCCAGTCTCAGCATATCAGGATTCTTGCGGGTGTCATGCAGTCTCCCATGCAGTCTGGGTTCTTTAGCATGTACAGCCAGAAGCAACAAGCACTTCGTAGACTACATTATCAGCCCTTGCAATTGTAGGTTATGGCTATGCTGTATGTGCACAAGGCCATGTAATTGGTAGAAACACCGGGGTCTATATAGGAGGACTGCCGAAATCATTCCAGATATTGCGTGTTGAAACCCAGTGGAGGGCAGAGGTAGAAGTTTCAGTACTCTATGCTGTTCCATTGTCATAGAAACTGTTGTTATGGAATCCTACATTGAAAACTTTTTTTCTTTTGAAATATTTCGGGCACCCTAGGATTTTTTTTTTCAATTTGACCTTTGCATCTGTGTTATTCTGGAATTATTATATCAATTTTTCATATTACCTCTTTTTACTCTTTTTTTAAAAATGATATTTTGGGTGCATGCCCATTTTAATGTCATTCATGGTACCTTGAATCTGTCCATCCCTGTGCATGAGGGCTTTTTTTATATAAATTGGTTAAGAAATTTGTAGGCATCTTGATATCATAAAGCTAAATTTCTTGAGGAAACACTATTATCCTAATCAAGAACAAAGAATTTGACATTTGTATAAAAATCATTAAAATGATTTTAGGATACAACTTTAAAGATGGTATTTAAAAAAAAAAAACATTATTGTAACATCTTGTTAAGAAATCCCCTCATGGTTCTGCCTAGATCTAGAACTAATTTACTTTGTAATGAAAAAAAGGCCTTGACTTTGTTTGACTTTGTTATCGTTATACAGTCACAGGAGACACAATAGCTCAGAATCCTGTTAAGATGCCTACAAGATTCCTTAACTGACACAATAAAAGGGAAACCTGATTCTGTATGTCTACCTCTGCTTTCCATGTTAAGGGTAGTTCTTCATCATACCAGTCCTGCATAAGATTCTTTTAAAACTCTGATGATTGGTAATGATGAGGTTTAATGCATGGTTTCATGTTATCAATCTTTCAAAGGGGCAGATGTTTATCAGAGATCTATCTTCAGTTATTTACATTTTTTTGTTACATTTCTATTTGTTTTGAATGATTTAGATGGAATTATGTGGACATTTTTTTTACATAGTATACCCTCTTAGTATACCCAATATTTTGAAAATATTAATCTGCCTCTGCTCTCTGCATTCTGGCATTGCATGGTTTATCCTACTTCATATATTTATATTCAAACTATTTGTAAAAACAATATTAAAAAACATAGTATATTTGCTAGTGTTGCATGGTTAACTAAAAGGAGTAAGATTGTGCTATATTGGCAATATTGTGTCTGTTCCCTCATTGTAGCCGAGTGTGTCGCTACCATTAATGTCTTATGTACCACTCCCTTGGTGCAATTATTATTACCACCAACATGGTAACGTATCCCACATACTATCACACACACAGTGAAACCTTACTGTCAGAAATGACACAATGTACAATTTTAGTATCTCACATACTGGTAAAACAAAGGGAGACTGTGTTGGTACACCAGAAATATTGTCACATCTGGCATACTGTCAAACTATTGGAGTTAACATTCTTAAAGGAACATGATATGTGACATCATGGAATTGACTGAAAATGAGAAAAAAGTGTAAATGAGAAAAAAGTATATGGTTTTTATTGTAAATTTTAATATATGTACTGTTATTTAATTTTTTTATTTTTTCCACTTACCTATCTATTGTCTTGCAGCAGTTTGACTGATAGGTAGATGACACTTCAAGCTTCAATACATTGATGAAACTTCGATCTTTGACACATATATATGACAATTCAATGTTTGACATGTAGATGACACTGATATTTGACACAGAAAGGACACTTCAATATTTGACACAGATGACACTTCAGTGTTTGTCACAAAGATGACACTTCAATCTATGACATACAGATGACACTTCAATCTTCCAGGTGATGCGTGACAGTTTCCAGGGCTGCGTGCGTGACATCAAGATCTTACACCAGGAGTACCCTGAGGAGATATGGCAGCCCGTAGACTGGGCAGATGCCACAGAGAATGTGGACGCTCTCCACAGCTGGGAGGGATGTCCCGTGGAATTGGAGGCACCTCCAGCCATACAGAAATCTGATACAACTCATTTTCTTGGGAGGGGTAAGGAGTTTTCCTTGTTCTTGTTATCTGTAGTTTCTTTACCAAAGAAAACAGAAAAAGGCACAATAGAATAGTCAATACCAAATTCAAATCTGCTATTGTGCTCAGTTGCTAAATTTGCCCACTGCTGCCACCTTTAAGTTTATGCACTATATTGATTCTTTTTTTGGTATACTAAGTGTGCCATGCATGTTAAGATCCATTCTCTTCTTCCTCAGTTCAGTGGGATTTGTATGGACAAAATTTCCTAGTCAGTCATTTGTAATAATATTTTTTTCTCAATGTGAGAGTGTAAATTTTTTGTGCACTTTAAAGCAGTTCAAACTAAGTATTGTGTCAATTAACACACTATGTTACCAACATGTTGTTATATCTCCAGGTTATATTGCATTTCCAATGGATGCAAGCGCCAGTCTAGAAAGCACCATAAAAAGGGGCAATGATTTTGATATACGGTTTCAATTACGTACAGAGTTAAAAACCAGTCTACTATTCTTTGCCTATGGAGGACTGGAAACCTATTTTTATGTCCAAATGATCGATGGTTCTCTGTTTGCGGAGTTCAGCACACCTGTAGCAAGAGGGTATGTTCTTTATCCCCACCATTTGGTTAACTTGTGTGACGGTCAGTGGAAAGAAATATTCGTTCTGAAAAAAGGACAGAAACTGCTTATTCAGGTGGACAGGGGGAATGAACGCACCAGTGGGAATGACAAGATCACGGCGTATCTGAATTTGGTCTCTCCATTGTACATTGGTGGAATTCCTATGAATTCAGAGTCTGAGCAGTTTGTGAAGGATAACAACATTGCAATGGTCAAGGAAGGATTTGGTGGCTGTATGAAGAACTTTCGCATCAAAGGTTTCTTGAAGTTGGACGTTCTGACCAAATCAACTAGCATTCTCAATGTGAACATGGATGGCTGTCCCCCCTATGTCCCCAGCTTGGCTCCCTGTCAGGCCTCTTCCAGTGTGTTTGTGTATAACGGAACTGGGAACATCACTTACAATTCAGGACTGAATATTTTCACAGGTTGGTGCTACATTTGTATGTTATGGGAATAGAATATTGAAGAAAGAGAAAAATACAAAGCATTATAAGCATATATAGTGGTGGAGATCAATGGTTGAAATTTGAAAAGAATATTGTCCCAAAATTTTATAACATTGGATAGTTGCCATTTTTTAAGAACAGTGTGCCTTTTGTGTACATGTTCACATTTATTTTAATTTATTTTCCCTTATTTTTCTGGATTCTTATGCAAGATTTCTTATCTTTCAGACTACTTGTACCGTGTTTATGCTGTGAATGATGCAGGGAATACCTCCAGTAGCTGGACCATTGGAAAGACTAAGGAAGGGCGTAAGTGGTTCACAGTCTTATATCTAGCACAATTACAACACATTGTCACACCAAACACAATCAGAGTACCATCTTATGATCACAGATGCAAATATTCTTTTACTTATAGTCCCAGATGGGATCTCTCTCTCTCTCTCTCTCTCTCTCTCTCTCTCTCTCTCTCTCTCTCTCTCTCTCAGAGTTTGCACCANTGCTCTCTCTCTCTCTCTCTCTCTCTCTCTCTCTCTCTCTCTCTCTCTCTCTCTCTCTCTCTCTCTCTCACACACACACACACACACACACACACACACACACACACACACACACACACACACACACACACACACACACACACACACACACACACAGCATATTATGAGATTGTGATATTTGAACAGCAGAATCAAAATGACATTATTTCTCTCCTAGCTCCCAATGGTATGTCTCCCCCCTACAATGTGCGTGCCCACAGTGGGTTTGTCATAGGTGCCCAGTGGTCACACCCTACTGGTAACACTGGCCTGCTGACCAAGTACATGCTGCGAGGTTATGACTGGAGGAACCTCTCCATGGCACCAAGAGAGACAGAATTCCTGAATACTTCCATAACATATGGTATGTGTATTGGTATAATTTCCGTATGAAAGCAATGATTTTCTGATTTGTCATTTCTAAATTTGTCAGTTCTAAGCTGTTACATATGTTTTGCAGAATCATTTAATCTTCTTTTGCGTATGTCCTGTGTGTCATTCTATTTTTAGCAGTTGCTTTTTTTTTTCAAAAAGAAAGCAACTAATTAAATGAAGATTCATTATATATGAAAGCTGCATGTTTGTCATAGTCAAATCAGGTGCACAGTGAGTTAAAAACTCAGCTAGAAGAATTTTACTCATAAAATTTATTATAGAAAATTCTATCACTACCATCCTGGGGACAAGAAATAATATAGTGACCACTGATTCTTTTTAATTTGGTGATTTCCCTCCTCTGAGCCTCAAGTTTACACCTAAATTCATGTAGCTGACCTTTTTCTAGGTAATCTGACCACTGCAATCCCCTACACTCCATACAAGCTGGTCCTGGTGGCGTGTACTGCTGGAGGATGTGCTGAGAGCGCAGGAGTCAATATTACCACACCAGAAGAAGGTAAAGATGGCGTATAGTCAGCTGTTATTACATCACTGAAGATTTTGTCATCATACACAAACTGTGCTCTACCTAGTTTTTTGTTTGATTAAAATTTTTATTACATAAGATGTATGTAATATCTGCTTTGTACTAGTTTATATCACATAGGCCTGTTCACACTGAGCTTATTGGCTTAGCTAAGTACTGTGCACTAACTCCTTGCTGAATGAAATCAGGTTTACAGATTATCATGCCTCCACCTTGCATTAAGCAGAAAACAGAAAAACTGGTGATTAAACAAGTACAGTGGAAATGAGAGATGGTGTGTTAGTCAGTTGATCTGATTGCATTCAGCAAGAGCCCCCTTGGAGTTAGTGAGCAGTAGCTAGATCGATAAATTCATTGTGAACAGGCCAACCCATCTTATTAACCTGCGAGTATCAAGTACACTGACCTCTATACCTCTATGTGTATCTCTCTCTGTTCCAGCACCCCTGGCTGTGTCAGCTACCACTGCCCTCTCTGCAGGCCCCACCTGGATCACTGTGGGCTGGTCCCCCCCTCTGAGCCCCAATGGGATCATCACAGGCTATATACTGCTGAAGGATGGACAAGAGGCTCACAGGGGGAATGGCCTCAAGTTTAATGTGACAGGACTGCAGGTAAGTACCCTGATTCCCTCATGTGAGCCTCAGTCATGAACGTAAAACAATGACTGTTTCAAATCAAAGGGAAAATATTTATAGGATTTGTATAGATAATCCAAAAATTGTGACTTATAAACAAGCAAAATATTTATGAAGTTTTCATGTATGCTTTAAACCAACTTGGATGTAATATCCACTCAGTCTGACAAAGGTCTTCATTCAGGTTGGCCACGAACTAACTTGTAAGCTTCATAAATGTTTTGTTTGTGTGCGAGTTACAATCTTTGGACTGTTTCCAGTCAATTTTGAAACTTGGAATTAAAAAAAAACTTGTGCAACATGGTAATAATCATTTTATTTGGTTTAAGGGTGGTTTCAGCAGAATTGTCTTGTTAATTCTTTCAGGGATATGTGTGTGTTCCTGGTTTAATCATAAACCATAAGAAAATGAGGGTGGGGGGGGGATACATAGTCACATACCGAAATACTGTTTTTTTCCCCTTTAGATTTGGGGTATTTGTATATGTGTTCCTGGTCCAGGCGCTTACTATGTGAGTAGGGGGCACAAATGGCTAGATACTCAGATAGTGTTATATTTCATTGCTGTATATTCCAGGTGTACACTTCCTATGTGTTCCTGGTCCAGGCGTGTACTAGGGTGGGGTGCACTGATGGTCCAGAGTCAGTCCTGGTCACTGCACAACTGCCCCCTACAGCCACTGACCCTCCCACACTGACTGTACTAGGTAGGCTGTTCTCAGTCATAGGAAGCATGAGTATTATATCAACTTGCTTTAATTTTTACCCTGTGTGCATAATGGTATTTTTATCCTTTTAAGTTTTTTCTCTGTGATTTTTTCTGAATTTCAAGTTAAATATCAAAGGATTTTTTCCAAGCTGTTTTCACTTATCTGGTATAATCTAAAATATTTATTTTTAAAATTTTTAATATATTTTTTCAAAAGTTTAATTTTTTTTTCATAATTCAAGTTTCAATGTAATTGCTATTTACTTAAAAAGCAACTTAAGTTCATGACTGATAAAATTCCAGGAACGAGAAGAATCCGGGTGGAGTGGAGAGAGCCATCTCAGTTGAATGGAGCAATGGAGAGATACGTTCTGTTGGTGTCTGTGCAGGCTGATGAGACTGGTGTAGAGATGTATAACAGCACAGACCTGTACACATATTACACACTGGAAGGGCTGGTGCCTGGGACCACCTACCATATCAGAGTCATTGTAAGTCAGGGATTAGAGAGATATCTGTGATTTCTTTGTGAATATCTGGGTTAAATATGGTTACAGATTATGTGTTAGAATTCAGAAGATGGAAGGGTAGTTCAACTGAAGTTATTTTGCCATTGTTTTAAGTACTAACTTTGATAATTTCCAACATCTCCATATTATTGTAATGACCTTTAAAAATTTGAAAAATTTCCAACATCTCCGTATTATTGTAATGACCTTTTAAAATTTGAAAATTAAAACATTTTAAATTTCTAGTTAAAAATATATATGTCATATATTTAGGTCATGTCAATGTTAACATATGTAAGACCAGTTACTCACATGTTCTCTCTGTGTTGTTCCAGGCATGTACAGGTGGAGGGTGCACCACCAGTCCCCCTAGCACTGCTAGGACAGAGGAGAGTGCACCAGAGGGTGTGCCTGACCCAGTGGTAGTCTCTCCCAGTCCTACAGAGCTCAGGATTACCTGGGGAGTGCCTCTCTATCCTAATGGTAATGTATTACTTGGTTATGACATAGAGGGCTACTATATCTGTCAGCTATATTGATTTTGTATCTGTAACATTTGATACAATATGACTTCATGGTTTTGTCTTTTAGTCCTACAGAGTTTAGAATTTACATAAAAAGAATGGCAGTAATAGCAGATAGCTTCAAACTTTCCTGAATTTTATAGTCAGTGCTTAAAGCTAGCTCACCATTTTGACTAGTAATTTGTAACAAATTCATTAACTATTTTTCCATTTTAATCCAGGCATTGTGTTGCGATATGACCTTTACCACAATGGCCTCAAGGTGTCGCCACCTCCAACAAATCGCAGCTACTACGTCAGTAACCTCAGACCCTGGAGTCTGAACACATTCCGTGTGGCAGCCTGCACAGCCAAGGGGTGCGGCTCTAGCAATGAGATCTCAGCGCGTACACAGGAAGCACCACCAGAGGGCAGGGTGGTGCTGGATCTGAGGGTCGAAGGCGCAAGAACTGTGATGATCAAATGGACGGCACCTGCTCAACTGAATGGGAATGTCAGCTATACTGCTTACTTTGAAGGCTACTTTTATCAGGATCCAGGTTTGTTCTTTAAGCTATATTCAGGACTATGGGCAGTTTCACCTAAAAAATCTAAGCCTTTTCTTGTTGTCTGTAAAATTTTATCTTCAGTTTAGTGTGAATCCATATAGTGGTCAGTTGACTGAGACTGGTGGGTTACATCCCAGACTAGTCCAATCTGTAGCTGCACTCAGTGGAATTGGAATGTGGAATTGCGTCATGGCAGGCTTGTAGAAAGTCACCGAAGCACCGAAGTCCCTCAGAGCTAAAGGGTAGTTGGGCAGGATCTAAGGCCACGTGTCTAGCTTGTCTCAGAAGGCTTTTTATACCAGGAAAGGGTGACCATACCTCTCATCAAGAATCTTCCATGCGCTGTGAAATGCAGATGGACTGTTTCTGTAGAAAAACCCTTCAGGTGCTTTATGTGCTGGATATCCTACATATATCTCTTTAAGTAGAAGATCCTTTCTTCAGGGGTATAAGCATCTGGAAAGAGGTCTTCCATTCTAAATACTGCAGTGGATCTCCAGTAAAAACGCTGGGTTCTGGAATCAGTAATCTGTTGAGGTTCACGGAATCAGTCAGAGCTTTAACTAAAGAGTTCATATCTTGTAGCGGCGCTTGCATTCTGTGTAGTGTTAACGTGACTCCCACCATTGCTAGGCTGGGCCTGATCTAGACTCTCAGCTGTAGCCGAATCACCGGTAGAGCAATTGGCACTGGACAACTGTGCTCTTTCACATTTTCTTTCTTCTTAATATTCTGCCATCCTTTTTGTCATTTTCTGTTTTTGTTGAGACCGTCTTACACTTTCCTCTGTCTCACTGTCTGCACTGTCACTCTTGTGTATGTCCATGAACACTACCTACTTGTCCGTTGAATAACTACAGGAAGGGAAATAGCACCATTGATCCCCACGGGAAGAGAGACTCCACCAGAGAGAATTTTTACTGTAGCTGCACTCAGTCAAGAAAGAAGTCTCCAATACTGATTGAATTGTTTTATTTCAAATTCAAACGTAAAACTGAAAGAAAATAAATTAGCGTTGAAATAGTTTACCTTTTCCTCTGACTAAGTGAGCTAATATACTGTGTCATTAGATTTCTCTGTCCTGTTCCAAGCACAAAAGTAAAGTGAGTGAAAAGAAATAGAAAGAAGGCCTTATAATATGCTGTGAAATGAAAACTGTTCAGTGCAGGGTGTGGTACAGGCATGTGACGGTGTGGTTATGTAAGTGCAGTGGCCTGTTACTTTATAATTAGTAGAGGGAGAGAGACAGAGAGAGAGAGAGAGAACAAAGAAAGGCAAAAGAGAAAGAAGGGAAAACGTACTTCGCATGAATAATAAGTAAACAAAGGACAAACTCAAATAAAAATGAAAAAAAAAATATTGCAGGCAGTTACAGAATTCAACTTCTCATTTTAGAAAACTGGAATTACAACCTGGTCACTGATAACCGTGGTCTGTACACCAGTGGAGAGTCTGATACATGGGTAACTATTGACAGCCTAGTGCCATATTCCCAGTACAGGGTGACAGTCAGAGCTGCTAACACCAAGGGCTCCATTCTCAGTAATGAGATGGTGGCCAATATGCCACAGGGATGTAAGTAAATTGTCTCTAACATGATGGCATGTTGAATTGTCAGATCAAACATATGTCTAATCTCAAGTTGCTAGACAATATTATTTCCTGATTAAACTTTGCTGCTTTACAAAGCATTACAGCCTATTTTACGTGTGACTTTTGTCACAAAATTGACATTGTCTTCAACATTGTAAGTTTTAATAGATGGATTGACTTATTTGTATTTCCATTACTTATGCTAGAATTTGTGCTTTACATTCTGAATTGCATGATCAATCTACAGGAAGATTTTGAAATACATTTGTTCATGTTGACTAAATCCATGTTTAATGCAGCACCTGATGGAGTGGCGCCCCCTACACTCACATCACCAAGCTCCACATCTATCAGAGCCACCTGGCGGCCAGTGGGAAGAGCTAATACAGATACACAACCAGTGTTTCAACTACAGTTTAGAGAAACCACAACTGGAGCATTAGTTCAAGAGTAAGGAAAACAGACCATTTTGCCTCCCACAGCAAACTGATTGTTATACATTTGAATTCACCAATTTTTATATTATTCACTCTATTTGCAGTTGTTGGCAGCTTTTTAATCTAGTAATATTATGCAATTATTCATCCTTCTCGATAAATATATATTTTTTAAAGTGCCACTTTAACAAGAGTTTTCAGCATTGCCAGTCTTTGTTATGACATCATGAATTTCTTTCTTTTTTTCCAGCCTTTTTGCACAGCCTACCACTGCCACTACCTATCTGAAGACTACTCTGACTCCATACACTCGCTATGAGTTCCGCCTGGTGGCCAGTAATACTGTGGGCTCCACACAGACAGAGTGGGTCTCACTTTACACCAGACAGGACAGTAAGTCTTATGATATCAGTAGGATGTTTTATATAGTAACTGTAGTCAAAATCTGGCTGGTCCTTTTCTGTAGCATTTGACAAAAAACCCTTTGTGTCACTCAAACAATGATGAAAAAAAGGATAAATAATATAAGGTAATAAAATATTATATAAAAAATGATATGCAGGATAAACATTGGAAAACAGTGCTCTGTTGCATGCCTTTACTATCTTTATCTAGAACCTGGGGCTATAGACCCTCCAATGACAACCAATGTCAAGTCACGCTCCATTGATGTTACTTGGGAACACCCACTGCAGAGGAATGGCATCATCACGCAGTACAGAATATACCAGAATGACCAGTTCAGGGAATCTGTTCCTGGGAATGTTACCCAGATTGTGGCCACTGGTTTGATTCCATACACAGATTATGTGTACAAAGTGGAGGCATGCACTGTGGCTGGGTGTACCATGAGTCCAGAGTCTCAGTCTGTCAGGACACTTATTGCAGGTACAGCCTTGAGATATTATAGTATGTTGGTGTCACAGCTTTTTGTGAGAACTAAATTTGTGAATAGAACTGTTTCTGGCTTTAGTCTAGAGATATTCTGGACATGTGTTTACTGTTTGAAAATTATTGTAGGAATTATATATCTGATCATCAGGTGTGATGCATTTCTGTCTTTCTTGTTACGACACTAATGGGCATGTAGGGAAATTTGAAAATAAAAAAACATGGCGAGCATTGTATCTGATTCTTTTCTCAGTCACAAGTTAACATCATAATTTACTTTCACTTTCTTTTCTAGCACCTGAGGGTGTCCCTGCACCCACCCTGATCTCTGAGACCCCCACCTCCGTCCTCATCTCCTGGGGTCCCCCTACCTTCCCTAATGGCGACCTAACAGGTTACACCATCGAGCGCCGCCTTAGGAACACCAGCGCCATCACACTGGTGGCCCTCATTGGCTCCGCTAATCCCAGGAGATACGTGGACCAGGCTGCAGTGCTGACACCTTATACAGAGTATGAGTATCGTATACTAGCATCCACTGTTGTGGGTACTGGGTATGGACCTTGGGCAGTGGTGACCACACGCTCTTCAAGTAAGAACTGTGGATTGTATGCTATAGATCATTCAATTCTGAGAATAAAGATGTCTTGTTTTACATATTGCTATGTCATGGAAATTTGAGGCAAAAGAAAAAAGGAAATGATGTTTGAAGGGAAGCAGTGTTCAGAATGTTATGTAGGAACTGTTTTAGTGCTATTGCATTGTTTTAATTTCAGAGAATTTCAACAGCTGATTTTATAAACAACCCCAACTCACAACTTTGTTATAATTTCAGGACCTAGTCCTCTGAATCCACCAGTAGTTGACATATTGGGTCCAACATCTGTACGTGTTAACTGGAAAGCACCTACAAATCCCAATGGAATCCTGGAATATTACATCATCAAGTTTCCCATTCCAAGAATAGAGCTGAGAAATACCAGTATATTGTCTCTGGAGGTAGATGACCTGTTGCCTTACACTGAGTATACTGTCACAGTGACTGCTTGTACAGGTAGGAACATTGCAAATTGAATATTGATCAGTTTTGATATTTTTGTGATATTGGCATATTTTTATATATTTGCCTATTATATAGGTATTTATATATTTGCTGCTTGTTTCTATTATTTCAAATTTTATCTACACGTGACATTAGATAAATTGGTGTTATTTTGTTGCTTTTTAAGGATGTTGTAAAAATATCATGTTTCATTAATTGCAGGCTTTTAATAAATGTTTTTCTAATGAAGAACTATTATACACTGAGGGAAGTGTTATGCCCAATTTACTAAAATCATGCATGGACTTTAATTGACCATTTACATGTGTAATAAATTTTCCAGATGGTGGCTGCAGTGAAAGTCAGCCTCGTGTTATCAGAACAGAAGCTACATACCCTGCAGGCCAACAGCCACCAGTGGCGCTACCTATTTCACAAACACTGATCTCAGTCACATGGCAGGCTCCACCCAATCCCAATGGACCTAACATAAGATATGAACTGGCCAGGTTAAAACTGAGGCAGCCTTTGGATGGTGAGTTTCATATTTTTAGTTTTTTTTTTAATTTCAAAATTTTATACAATGCGGCTATGATTTTATTTGTTTTGCATTTAATGTTTAAGTGGATACTTTTGTTGAAATTTAAAGCATATATCAAGGACAGCATAAACATAACCTTAAATGTTAAAATTGAACTTTATGGTCATAAGTTGAATTATATATTATTATAGAAATAATATTCAGTGGATATTTTATAAAAACTGAGAAACAATCTATGAACATGTTAATTTGAGGAGAAACTTTAACAACACTTGAAAAATTGAGGCTAGAAAATGAAATATTCATCGTTATACAGAAGTAAAGTATATTCATTAACATCTAATTTCACAGATCAAGCAATAGGTTTTAACGTCTGGAACAGTATCTACACGGGCAGCAATACCAACTTTGATGACCGCGGTTTGACAGTGTTCACCACCTATGTGTACAGGGTCACAGTGTACAATGACTTTGGTCCTATGATCAGTGACAATTCTGAGGAGGTGACAACTTCTGGGGGAGTCCCACAGGCACCTGCTAACCTCACTGCGGTCCCTGTCAGCCATGTCCAGGTTGGACTATCTTGGAGCACACCAGGTAGGTAGTTATAGAGTGGGAGTTTTCAGGCCTGTTGTAAAGTCCCTTTTGTGTGTGAGTGTGTATTGAAGTCATTTTAGAAAGTTGCAAGATTTTGTGTGAATTTTCTTTGGAAAAGGGAAACGTTTCTGAGGATGTTATGGGTGAAGATGAAATTTGCCTACTTACAGCAGAGTTTTACATGATAGATAATGACCTTTCATTTCAGATGAGGTGACCCTCCAAGGCTTTGTAGACAGATATGAGGTCATCATCAGCAGCCCTGCTCTAAACACAACCAAGACTTATGACTCAGACACCCAGCAGACGGTGATAGACAGCCTCAGTCCCAACACAAGGTACCAGTTCTTGCTGAGGTTGTACATCAATGGAGGGGCAAGCATAGACAGCAGACCTGTGTATGCTACCACATTAGATGGAGGTGAGTGGATTGGGATTGAAAACACACGGGTGCAGGGTCTTGACCTAGTAAAAAGACCTTTGTAATATTTGATGGATTATCGGCATTACTTCATAGTTCTCATTTACAATTAATGCCATACAATGTACTCGTTTGAAATTTATTTGTCTGTCCATTGTCACTGTCTTTTCATTGGTTGAAAAGGTATACTTGGTATAAAAGGCAAATACGTAGATAAATATTGCCTTGTACCAAGTTAGTAAAATACTTAAGGCATTTTGGCTTATATTTAAAACATTGTGCAGAGATACCATATAATATAAACATATGAAAATACTTCAGCTCCAGAAGGGCTACCTCCTCCACAGCTCTATGTGGTCAGTGACACTGCATTGAGAGTGACCTGGACAGCTCCAGCCAAACCCAATGGTCAGATAACAGGATATTATATCTATATCAATGGACAGAGAGTGGACCCAGCAATGACCACTGCTGGATCTTATGTACTCCAGAATCTTCAGCCTTACACCATATATGATATAAAGGTATGTCTTCACTGTTTTAATCATGCTTTGTGGTTATAGTTGCTTATAAAATACAAAAAAGTGTTATAGATATGATTTTGGTGTCTTGGTGGTCTTTCATGGTATCTGTCATCATGAAAACACTTTATTAAAACTAATTCTGTTCCTTACAAAAAAAATCTCTGCTGGCTTGTTGGTTGGTAGGAAAATATGTTGCAAATAAGTTATAAAAAAACCTGTTTCGAAGTCTCTTTATGAAATATCGTTTGAGACTTAACAAGTACCACATACCACAGCCAGCTTGACTTTTTCCTGGCATAATGTATTTTTGCAGATTCAAGTATGCACAGTATTTGACTGTCTGATGAGTGACACAACTCAAGGGACAACAGCAGAGGCCATAGCCCAGAATGTGCTGCCACCTACACTTGATGTGATAGACTCCTACTCCATTGGCATCAACTGGACTGTACCAAGTCGCCCCAACGGGATCATTGTGCGTTATGAAATAATGAGGAAAGCCATGCTGCCATGTGATTTAATCCAGCAGTAAGTATGCTGAGATGTATTATTTGAATGGTACATTGATGATGATGCCAAAAAAGTCTAATTATCCTAGTGTTCTTTAGATTGAAGTAGTTCTTTAATGACAGACGACAAAAAAGATGACATTCTATTCATAGTAGATTGTTGAAAAGCTCAATTTTATGTAATGATATTTTAATAAAATGCATTGATGTTTGTTATTTTCCAAAGAAGACATACATGAAAAATATGTCAGTGGAGGTACATTTTGATTTCTACAGTTTTATTGTATGTATAATTTCATTAGTGTATTTGGTGACATAGAGACAAGCAAAACAAATATCAATATTTTCATTTCCAGACCAATGACCACAGCAGTTCCTAGCAGTGAGAAGTGTTCTTATATTGAGTGTGGAATACTGGAGGGAGTGTGTGGTAGTCAGTGCTTCTCTGGACCCAAGGTATGGCACATATAAATTTGAACATTTTGTGCAATCAGTGATTTTGACCTGGACCTTTTTTCTGTATCATCATTATTAGGTCTATATCTGTAATGTATCTAGCTTTCAGTACCAAGAAACATCCCGTTTTCCTTTTACATTGGAAATCTGTTCAATATATGATGTATAAGCATTACTGAAATACATTTTGTACCTATTGCATCTTATGTCTATTGTCAAGGTCATAGAATCTGATATTATATAGACTTAAAACCTTGTTCTCCTGGATAGTTATGAAGAAAACTTGTACATGTACCAGAGTCTTGCAACTGCAGCACAATTGCAACTGTTACAGTTACACAAAGATATTTACTTTATATCACTTACATGATTGTAAAATACATCAGTATGTTGTTTATATTTCAGACTTGTTGTGGTGGTGTCCTCTATGACAATCGCCTTGGATACGAGTGCTGTGGTACAGACTACATTGCTGGAAAACAAAGTGCAGATGACGTCTGCTGCGCTGGGAAGTTCTATCCAAGACAGGACCATTTCCAATGCTGTGGAGGACGGTAAGGATTCATTCAGGATTCAGTGTTAAAGAAGAGCATCTAACTCATTGAAAGAAAGAAAAAACTGTTAATTCAATTAATATAATATCCTATATTAGTAATTCTTGCATTTCTATATATAAATTGTAGATTATACATCTATATACATATACATTTATCATCTAGATCATACATTTTAATTTTTGGCGCTTACAATGTTTTATATAGATTTCTGTTGCAACAAAATGATATCAGTAAACATGATATGAATATAGACATTGCATGTTGAACAATTTTATATTCTGCTCTTCAGGTATGTAGAAGTCCGTCCTGACCAGATCTGCTGTCCAGACCCCACCGAGGACCGAGTGGACGTTGGTTTTGGTGATCAGTGCTGTGGCTCTATACCCTATGACTCCAGTGGGGCTCAGCTGTGTTGTACTGGTGAGAATCTTACATGACTGTTCACAGTTTGTTTACAATGCTTAAAACATATCCAGAAAGTGTGCACATTAAAAAATTTAGCCTTCTGTTTTCTTCCACAAACACACCTTAGAAACCTTTTCTTCTGAAAGATGAAACCTATAAATGATAAACTTAAATTTTCATAAGACAGATGGGTGGACAAATATGCCAAGTTAGACCCTTTATTGGAAAGGTGAAATTTATAGATTGTGGGGAAAATCACTTAAATTTTCAAAAGACAAACAGACCAATGAATAGATTGCAAATAACATTCCTGTGTATATTGTGTCAGGTACCCTGTATGACAAGTATGGTAAACAGTGCTGTGGCAGACAGCTGATAGAGAGTGATGTCACATGTTGTGGTGGTAGTGAGGAGGGGATAGCATACACAACCAATATACAGAACACCTGCTGTGGTACAGAGTATGTCTCCACTGCTACCACTGCTTGCTGTGTGGATGAGGAAGGAAAGGCAAAGGTAAATAGCATGTGGTTTATGTAGAAATTAAGGGAAATTAAAGGTAACAGTCAGCTTGAAATGAAAGCGTTAAATGAAAGTGCTTGTTTGTCACAGGACATCACTGAGGAAATTTGAAAGTGAAAGATTTCATGACTTTCATACAAACCTTGGATTATTCCTTTTTATAGGGATTCAGAGACCTAATGTAGAAGATAACTGTAAGAAACTTTTTAAATTGCTGAATGATTTACACTGAAAATGATATTTTTTATACCAGCACTTAGTAAGATTGCATCAGTGATATGTTTTTCATCATGTGCAGTAGTACATGGCATTCTGAAAATTGGCTCTCTTTCTTTCAGTCTCACACATATGACAGTGCTACAGAGAAGACTAATTCCAACGAGAAATGCTGTGGTACAGAGAGAATCTCCTCAGGACTCAGCTGCTGCAACAATGTGGGCTTCAATCCCATCAGTCAAGTGTGTGCTGACCACTCCAGCATGGAATCTGGTAAATATTCATTTTCTGTCAAATTTTATCAGTAGCTTTAGGAAAAATATTTTAACTGCAGCTCACCAAAGTAAGTTTATAAGTTGAGATTTATTTTTCTAACTTGAAGTGATATTCAAAATGTATGAAGATGAAGAAAGGGTATATTCCTTTGTTATTTGGTTTAGAGTGTATGGCTTACATTTGAATTCTTTTATCTGTGTTATCATTATTATGACTTATTTGATTCAGCATTTATATCCTTTTACAAATATTATTTTAGCTATAATAGGTAATTTTTTGTACAGACTAAAAAAGTGGGCAGCACTTTCATAATACATTGACATGTTTCAGTGAATTTCAGTCAATATTTTAATATAATTTGACCTTCTATATCCAGGCTGTGGTTCCAGTACTGTTTGCCAATCCACACAAAGCCTGAGTGCCTTCTGTGATAGTTGTCAGTTCAACAGCAGCACCAGTATATGTGGGTCTGTCAGTGGACCCTTAGCACCCACCACACCCACCTCCCCACCCACACTACAACCCACCACATGTGAGGATGGACCCCATAGGATATACTCGGGACTAGGACTCAGTTATACTGGTATGGATTATATAGTTCTTAGGCTAGTTAAAGGGGTTGTATTGAAGGTATCACAAATATATCCATGTTCATTTACTTTACATGTGTTTTTTAACTTCAGGCATTAAGGTTAAATCATTGATAGAAGATAAAATAGTAGATAACATTTAGAGCAGGAAGGGAGAAACAAGATCTATTGCAATAATCTCTATATATTAATTAAAGATTCTTTGGCTTCTTTTTCCAGATGCTGGCCTGTACCCGTATATAACCTATGAGTATTCTGTTGTGGTTGTGAACCGTGCTGGTAGCCAGGCAAGTGACTACGCCTCAGCCACCACCATGCAGGCAAAACCTGAACAGGTGGCTCCACCAACATACAAGATAGTCCCATCCCAGTTAGACACCATCTATCTGAGCTGGAAGGAACCAGGGAAACCTAATGGTGAGTTATAAGGATAAGTTTAAGGTATCCAGGAATCTAATTTTCCTTTAAAAAAAAACTGATTCAGTGCAGACCTCTTCTATCTTTAAAACCCATGACCCCCCTACCCCCACCCCCACCTCCGCTGCCCCTGTAATCTGGATAATTAGGGAGCGAGATATATTGCATAGGATTTATACTTTAAAGGTTTTCTGTGTCAGTAGCTTAAGGTATTATATTCACTAAGTAAACATCCTTGTTTACCTTACTTTCTATTCCTAGTTAAGATTCAATGAAAAAGAATAACTTGTCTATCCAGGTGCCATCACTGCCTATATTCTGTTGAGAAGTGGTGTAGAGATCTACAGGGGTCTTGGTATGCAGTACATGGACAACAACAACATCAAACCATACCAGACATATACTTATCTGATGAGAGCATGCTCTCTGGCGGGATGTACCAACAGTGAACCTGTAAGTGTATCAGATATTTTCAAATGGTATTTGGCTTAGTGAACAGTTTCACTATGTAATATAAAAATCAGAAGTCATATAGTTATATTAAATCTCAAATGTATGTTTGGGTAGAAAATATCAATTCGATGACAAAAAAAGGTTTTCATACTTACATATTCACCTTGAACTAAAATTCAAATTAAAATCCAAATGTCAGCTAAGGTAATAGTCAAACCAAGCTTGTAACTAATTGCAAGAAGTACCAGTAAAAAATAAATGGTAGTGATACAAGACATAGTTGTTTTAGATTTACCCATATTATAGCAATTCTCATACTCATCTCATAATATCAAATTCTCCAAAATTTGAAAACCCTATCAGGTCACAGTGGCAACACTGCAGGCAGCTCCAGAGCAGGTGCTGCCCCCTACAGTTACTGTTCTCAACTCCTCGGCTATCCACCTGGCCTGGACTCCCCCTGGTAAACCTAATGGTATTATAACCAGCTACCAGATATGGCAAGAAGGAGCAGGCAATATTCACACTGTCAGCAGTGGGGAGCTGGAACACACAGTAAAAGGTTGGTCCAACAAGATTCTTATTTTAAAGAAACCGGTGTTTGTGATAACAGAAACTAGAGTGACTAATTAGGAAGTTTTTCTGTGTGATGATCATGGCAGTAGAAAAAAAAATCAAATTTTATCCACCACAGTTCTATAAAAATAATTAATGAAGGTTGTTAGGTCTGATTGAAAACTTGATCTATATCTCACTTCAAACTCTATTTAACTATTTTATTTTAATTAAATAAAGTAAAAACAACTATCTGCTTGAAAAGCAGTTGAGTAAGGAATTGTTAATTGAAATATGACCTTGAACTTGATCGTTGTCCCATGTACATGACCTATTTCCAGGGCTGCTGCCTTACACAGAGTATGAGTTCTACCTTAAGGTGTGCACCCAGGAGGCTTGTACTAGCAGCTCTACTGTGGCAGCAAGGACAGCCGAGGCTGCACCACAGGGTTAGTTTATCTCTTTTCATCTAAAATTTGTGATTTAGATTTGTAAAGTAGTAGTTGTTACAATTTAACTGTAAGGGAAAATAAGTCATATGTATAACATAACTGCTGTTGTAGCAGATGTGAAGCAATGAGTGTGGTAGGTAATGAGTGAGATTGTGTTAGGTGTACATGGTAGTGTGGTGGCATATGAGTGTGTTTGGATGTGACAGAGCTACAAATGTGTTAGATGAGACAATCACTCCAATTTGCAGATGCCATATCGGTACCACAGAACCATATCAAGTTGATAGTGATTATAAAATCTCCTTTTAAAGCATAGTATTTTTTTTTTAATTTAGTTTCTTAATTTTATTGAAATAATGTGGTTACATATAAGCATGTCACAAGTAGATAACAACTCACCAAAATTAACTGCAACAAATTAAATTGCTTTGAGCTAGAAGTATCATTCAATGAATATTGTTCTGATGTGAGATAATGCACTGCAGGTTGGAAGTTAAAACTACTGACAAATCTGCTGACAAGAGAAAAGAGGGATACTGGTTAGTTCTACTCGTTTATTGTCAGATTTCTGCCTCAGCACCCTCAAAGTTATTCTAAGCACTGCAGGCATGTGCTAATGGGGGGAGCGAGGGTGGGGTTGGGGCTAATGTTCATTATAACATTGTTGATGTTGGTGCTAGTCATAGTATTGTATTTCAGTTTTCAAGTGTCAGCATTGACCAAATCAGATTAATTAAAAATAGTCTTTCTTCTTTTTCAATATGTGTGAAATTCTAAAGATCTTTTTAAAATATCTTTATGAGACAACTGTGCTTTTGATCTTACTTGTAATCCTATACTTTTGTTCAACATTTTGCAGCACACAGCAACACCTTATAAGCATGTGTGTACAGCACTGTGAAATAATTTGATGAGGGCATGAAATCCATTGATACATTAGAGATACAAGTCATAGTGACTTGAACACCTAGAAAAATGAAATTATGATTTTTATCACATTGTGTATAGGCTCTATAGAGCTTTTCACTTATCTATATGCTGGTTCAAGTGATTTTTAGATACAGTTCCTACATGTAGATATAGGCAAATGCAAACATATATTGTATACTGTTATTATCCATCTGTCTTGATCAAGTCATTGTCATTGATCAAGCACCTTGTAATATATACATATTTTATTTTATTGATATAACATAATAACTTGATTACCAGTTAAATTGTTGGTTTCACTTTGCTGGTAATATAGTATATTAAGGATAGAGTATTTACTTTACTTTTAGATATAAGGTTTCTCTTAACAATTGTCTTATTATAAATACCAGAAAAATGTTTTATTTTATTTATTTATTTTTATTTTTTTTTGCATATTTAGAAAACATTTGATACGTGTCACAAAGTACTTTAAAAAAAAAAAACAACTAAAAATGAGAAATCTTAAAAAATTTCAATGTTGAAACAAGTAAATATTATGTAATATGTGAGGAAATATAGTGCCATTATCTCAGATATTGTGCAGTTACCCAAAATATTGCTTCTAATGACCATTTGTGTTTGTGCTCGTCTTTTGTTTATGTAATCGTTGTGATCAATTTTTCCTGTAATTTTTGGTGGTAGTACAGTTGTAAGAATTATGTCCTTTTGACACCCTTTTACCAATAAAATGTCAAGAATATGTGGATATATTTTAAAGTGCATCATTTTTACCTTATCCTGTCACTATTAACTGCATGACAACCTGTTAGATAATGTGTGCATGGGCAAAGAATCCCACGATGTACTTGTGTTCCTATTGTCTCTTGCCTAACATCCATGATTCACAATAATTAGATGGCCACATTTAACAGTAACTGTTATATCACTTTGTCTTCACCTTCCAGGAATGCCTCCACCAAGGTTTGTCATCCTGAGTGCCACTGAGGTAGAAATCCACTGGGAAATGCCAGCCAACCCTAATGGCATCATCACCCAGTTCCGTCTGATCAGAAACCCTGTGGGTGCCATCTTTTCTGGGGCCAACACAACCAGAATGTACATCAACCGTGGTCTCACCCCAGGAACGAGCTACAGCTATGTTGTCCAAGTTGTCTCCAAGGCAGGTTCTGTATTCAGTGAGGCACGTGATGTGACAATACCATCTATCACCCCAGCTGGTATCCCACCACCGAAAAATGCCACTGCCTTGAGCGACTCACAGATTTATGTTGCCTGGGACCCTCCTGCTCAGCCAAATGGTATGATAGATCAGTACAAAGTGTTGCTGAATGGAGGCTCACAAAATGAGATGGAGACTGGCGTTGGACTTGACTTTAGTGCCACATTCGCATACTTGGAGCCATTCACACTGTACAATGTTCGCATCAGAGCATGTATCAGAAATATTGAAAATAGCTGTGGCACTGGTCCTGGAGTGAATGTACGTACCTTTGAGGCACCGCCTCAGGGGCAGCTTCCACCTGGCCTGGTGGCTAATGGAGCCAGTGTGGTTACTGTAGCATGGGACCCTCCAGCCAGTCCTAACGGTATCATCACAGAATACAGAATACACAGGAGAGAGTTTGGCACAACAGTCGAGTTGTTGATCAATGTTCTCAACAATGCCACATTCACTTTCAGAAATGCTGGCCCTGACCTCAAACCATTTACAGTATATGAGTACAAAGTTACTGTAGCTAATTCTAAAGGTACCGCAGTCAGCCCATGGGCTAGTGTTCGCACACTTGAGGCGGCTCCACAGAATCTGGCTGCCCCAGTTCTTTCAACCAACAGTGCTTATTCCCTCCAGGTGTCATGGTCTCCTCCAGTGAAACCAAATGGTGTAATCACAAGGTACAAGATAGAGTACAGAGCAGTCCCCTTGGACCCTACTGTCACCAAACCAGTTCTTCATGTCACAGTGAATGGAGACATAACTCAGACCAGCTTCAGTGGACTTGAACCATACTCACAGTATGCTGTACGTGTAGTTGCTAACAATTCAGTAGGTGGCATTGTGAGCACTTGGCAGATGGCAACCACAATGGAATCCAGCCCATCTGATGTTGGCAACTTCACTGTTGAAAAGGTACCAAATGGACGCTCCGTGATTTTAAGATGGGAGGAACCTGGAAAACCCAATGGGCGCATCACAGGATACAGTATATATGAGTATGGAGAGTATGTCAATGCAATATACACTGGTCTAACCAGATACTTTGAGTTCCGCAGGTTGTCTCCATACACAGAATATGCTGTACACTTGGAGGCGTGTACAAGTGTAGGGTGCGCCAGGTCACCTGCACAGCATTTCTTTACAGCAGAAATTGCCCCTTCAGACCAGGCTCCACCCACTATGGGAGGAGCCAATGCCACCCATGTCAGGTTGTTATGGAAACCACCTGTCAATGCCAATGGAAGGATCCAAAAGTATGAGGTAATCAGAAGGACTGTGGGTGTAATTACCAAGCGTGCTGTCTCGGATCCTCTGGTTGTGTATTCTACCAATAAATCAGCAGACTCTTATGAATATGTGGACTCTGGCCTCCGACCTTACACACAGTACGAGTACAAAATCAGAGCTACCAATTCTAAAGGATCTGTTGAAAGCAGCTGGCTAACTGTAAGCACAGATCAGTCCTCTCCTGAAGGTTTGGCACCCCCCAACAGTGGAGTATGTCAGTGGCAGTGCAGATAGGTTGCAGATTAGATGGACAACACCTTCAACAGCTAATGGCATCATACAAAGCTACCAGTTACAACGTAATGGAAGTACACCATGGAGCTTTTCGGCTGATGATACCAAGGAGTATGTGGATAGCAATCTGAATGCCTTTACCACCTACAGTTATACCATTACTGCCTGCACTGCTGGTGGCTGTACCACAAGTCAGCCAACTTATACACGCACTAGGGAGACAGCTCCACTGTTTGTAAACCCTCCCAGTGTCAGAACAGTCAGTTCTACCAGTTTGGAACTCGCATGGGTCACCCCACAGATTACCAATGGTGAGATTCTGTCCTATCAACTCAAGATGGATGGAGTGGTTATCTACTCTGGACTCCAGCTGAGACATGTGGCTGAGAACCTAGTGTCATACAGAGAGTATCGCTTTGTGATAACGGCATGCACAGGAGGTGGTTGCACTGACAGCGCTTCCGTGGTCGGTCGTCCTTCTGAAGATGTACCTCGAATCATGCGAGCACCGACCCTGAATGTGCTCAGTTCCAATGCCATTGAGATAAGGTGGCAGGAACCGGACCAACCAAATGGGGTCATCACAGCCTACGAGTTACGTAGAGACAGTAAGTTAGTCTACTCTGGCCCAAGTACTTCCTACTCTGACTACGGTTTATTGCCAGGGGTGGAGTATGCATATGTTGTCACTGCAATAAACAACCAAGGTAGTGTGAGCAGCCCAGAGGTGAAGGCCACCACATACTCCTCCTCACCAGAGGGCCTCTTACCCCCAGTTCTCACTCCAGAATCCTCCTCAGAGATTCAGGCAACATGGCAAGCACCTGCTCAACCCAATGGAAACATCTACAACTACACGCTGTACAAGGATGATGAGGTGGTGTATTCAGGTACCCAGTTCAGCTTCAAGGTGACTGGTCTGCAATACTGGACAACCTACTCTTTCAGAATTCAGTCTTGTACAAACTCAGGCTGTGCAACAAGTACAGCTAGTAGAGCACGTACCTTGGAGGGCCCACCCTTGGGGCAGAATCCCCCCACTATGCTGCCCCTGGCTGATGGTTCAGGAAAACATGTTGGTGTGAGGGCGGAGTGGTTGCCACCATCTCGTCCCAATGGTGTGATCACTATGTATGCTCTGTATAGGAGGACAGTGACCAGAGATGAAGCAGGTAAATGTTCAGGTCATATCTGCTGTGATACATGCTGCAATATATATAGTGTGCATAAATACTGCTGTGATACATACTGCTGCAATACATACCAGTGATCTAAGCACTGAAAAAGTGAAAAAAAAAAACTGCACCTGACACAGGTATATTATACATTTTTAATACAAATTTATCTTTAATAGTAGAGATATGTCTGTGTGGCTGGCTTATATTGTATTGAGTTATATTACGTACATTGCATGATGATGTACATGTATAAATACGTGATTTTATAATCATCTCCATCTGTGTCCTGGCAGGGCGTTCCTCCTATGGTGCCCCAGTTCTGCTGTATAATGGCACAGCTCTGCTGTATGAGGACCGTGACCTGAGTGCCCTCCTGGCGTACACTGAGTACCAGTACATGGTGACCGCCTTCAACTCCGCAGACAGAGTCAGCAGCATGTGGCAGACTGTGACCACATTTGAGGCTCCCCCTGAAGGGGTACCGCCTCCCAGAGTGCAGGTAAATATCACTGGAGTAGTTTGTGGTCCCTTAGAAGATGAGGGGACCACTTTTTTTTCTTTTTTCTTCTGAACAACCTTTCCTTTGTGATAAATTTTAATAGTATTGTATTTGGGTAAGAAATGTATGTTACCCTTGTAAATAAATGTTCAGGTTTAGAAATATGCTGGATGGGAGGCAGAGGTACAATACATACAAGAAGGTTATTTGTTTACTGCCCATGGTGCTCATCTAGATGCTGACTGAAGGAAAAATAAGAAGGCATATTTCTTATCAGCTACTGTACAGACTATGCCTAGCATAAATCCTAATTGCTTAGTGTATTACTAAATGTAAATTGCAGGATGTAACAGCCACTAGTGTGAGAGTAGAGATTTTGAAGCCTTCAAAGCCCAATGCGCTGGTCAACAGCCTCAGCTATAATGTCATAGTTGATGATACAGTGGTAAGATTTCATGTGACGTTCTGCTAACTGACTCAATAAATTTACTTACCTGTGATGCCAGTCTCACGTTTGTGAGAAAGATGCACTCCACTGCTGTGCTTAATAGTCATTGTCCAACACTATCCAACATAAAACAGTTATATGCTGACACAGTAGTTTTAAGAAAAATGTAATTTCAGATAATCTGGATTTCAATTCGCCCTTGATAGTGTTGATTTTATGTTTTGAAAGTTATACAATCATGTTATCTTCAGATTGCTAATTCAATATCTGTTAGATGGTGTTTTTCTTCTGAAAAGAAGTTTTGATGTTTCTTTCATTATCCTTTTAAGGTCACCAGAAGTACATTCCTTGTCCAAGAGGTGACAGGTTTGCAGCCTTACACAACCTATGCCATCCGTGTAGAGGCCTGTACCTCTGCAGGCTGCACTACCAGTAATGCCACCTATGTTAGAACACTACAGGCACCACCCACTGGGCTGGCTCCACCCACTGTATCCAGTATAACCAATAGAAGTTGTGTTGTCACATGGGCTCCTCCCACTTATCCCAATGGTATACTAGTAAGGTAGGCTAAAACCAGTGTTGTTTAGGTTTAAAAAAAACTTACATATAAAGTCTTCTTGATTAAAAGTTGCTGTCACTGTGTTTGTAATATGGGTTGATGATTTATTATTGAACTCGTGATAACATGTTTGATAGGCATTACCAACTTATTCTGCTCTAATGATATAATTATTCTTTATATTCATACAATTCCATAGAATAGCATTATGAATTTCAAAATCTTTTCCCTCTCACCTATATTTTCAAGTACCATACACATTGTATTGATATACAAAACTTCCATTTCCAGGTTTGAGCTCTCCTACCGCCTGTCCTGTCCTCCCCCTTACCAGCCCTTCAACACTAGTGGTCTGTGCCAGGCCCAGGGTCCATATACCATCTACTCAGGCCTAGAGCTCCAATACACTGTGCCTAACCTGCAGCCATACACTAACTATGAGTTCCAGGTCAATGCCTTCAATGAGCTGCCAGGGGGAGTGGCTAACCCAGGCTGGACCAGGATGACCACTCTGGCTGGAGGTAGGGGTTTGTTTGATTGATTGACTGATTTGTTAAATGATTGGTTGGTTGATTGATTGATTGATTAGTTGATTGATTGGTTGATTGATGTAAGGGTAATGCTGAGAATATATTTTTCTGTGTGTACTTTATTTACTGAAATGAAAATCCAAATTTGACCTCTTCTACTTTGATATGGCTCAATGACCTTATATATTGTAACATGTACTTGTACCGTACAAGCTATTGCAGCTGGCATATTGTCACATGAATCACTAAAAAGGAAAAAAAGAACGATATCTAGTATATTGAAACATAGTCAAAATCGTAATCATAGAGTTTCCTGCATCTCCAGGAAAAGAAGAAACTTTTTCCATTAGCACAAATGCTGTCTTTTAAATGTTTTTCACCATCACATTTTATTATTATTTCTCTTCCAGTCCCAGAATATTCCACGCCCCCCAGGCTGTCCAAACAGGGCACCACAGTTGTAGTGGACTGGTCAGATAGCTTCCAGCTTAATGGAGAACTGCTGACCTATACTTTGCTGGCAGATGACCGCAAGACATACACTGGATTTGAGACCAGTGCTGCAGTAGAGAGGCAGACCAAAGAACAAAGTGAGTTTGGTGCTACAAATGCATGCACATACGCACGGACACATGCACACGCACATACACACACACATGCATGCACATATACATGCATGCTTTTATGAATAACCTCAATTATTCATAACCCAACAAGTTTTCTGACCCCTGATCCCCTTTTTAACTTTCAAGAATTAACAGTGCTGAACTTCTGAAACTCTGTGTTGGTGTCAAAAGTGACCTAAATTTTGAATTGTTCTTAACCTGTAAATTGTGATGTGTGTCAAATGTTTGTGTTGGGATTCCCATATATCCAAAGCTAGCCCACAATGAGTCAATTTTCTAATCACACACAAACGCACACTTGTATATAATATTTATGTATTTACAGTTATCCAGTTTAAAGTCCGTTGCACAACAAAGATGGGTGTGGCTGAAACTCCAGTGATAGTATTTGACCCAAGCTCAGCAGATAATGTTGGTAAGTTTTCTGTGCTAGATTGCTGTATAAATAACACAGTATGATATTGCACTCTGTACCAGAATATTTCATAAGATAACCTGTATAAGTTTTGAAAAGATTTCTTATCTAACTCAGCTGTAGACATAGGAATAACCACTACATGTTTTTTATCCCTTGTGAAATTTATTATGCAGTAGTCTCTTCCCCAGTAAAATTAAAGGCTTGTGTACTCACAAGCAATATTGTAGCTTTAAACTATCACATACAATGGAAAGGCTGTTATTGGACATTAATTCTAACATCTGTTCTAACATTATTACAGCACCATCAACAACAACAGGTATATTATTCGTAGACAATTTATTACTTTGCATGTTACACAGAAACATTTTCAGAAATATTTTTATTGTGATATGAATATTTTAGGCACCATGTGCAAGTGTATAATTACAATTTTATCAGCACACTATTTGTTAAAGCATGTATAGATTTGTTGAATTTCACAAAGAAAATTTTTTGTTTACTGACAGTTCATGTAAATGCACAGATTTCTTTTTTATTTTCATTTACATTGAACACTTATTACTGGGTTTTTAATTGTTTGCTTTGATAAACATGTCAAGCCAGTGGAAATATAAAATAGAAAGAAAAGCATGCACATTTTTTATTTTGTTAAACAAGATATTATGAGATGAAATGACCAAAACACAGAGATAGATTGCATAACCCAAGTTAAGAATTAGCTTTCTCAGATTCATGGAATATGTACAATTGTGCAGATTGTAGTCCTACAACTATTTAAACCTACTGTCATTGAAGACAAACAGTCACATCCAGCAATGACTTATTGCCATGAATATTCAGCTATTCAATTTCTACAATCCTTGTTCTAACAACAGATGAGAGTTCATGTATAACTTCATTTAATCAACTCTCTAGCTCCTTTTGTTCTCCAGGAACAGTGGCTCCATCTGTTGCCCCACAGATCCAGCTCCCATTTTATCAGGAAGTGTGGTTCATCGCAGTGATTGCACTGGTGGCATTGCTGCTACTGATGACAGGCATAGCGTGCTGTCTGCGCTACTCTGGAACCAGAACGCCTTATGTGAGGGAGAGGATGCCTCTGCAGCCCAGACAGAAGAAATATGGCAATCAGATTGGATATTGTGTGGATCCTTATGATGGAAGCATTATTACCAATGTAAGGAAAGTTATGCTATATTTGAATGATGTGTCTGTATTTTATAATAGTAACTATAGGATTTAATTAAGTTGAAATGTAGTATCGTTACACTTTATGCATCTAACACAATTAAATACTGCTTCAGGACATTCCTCAGAGATCTCCCAGTCAGACAGGTAGTGTCAGAGGTCGTGCACAGAAATACATGTTGGATGACCATGAAGAAGGTTTTGTGAACCCCGCATATTCCACAGCGTCCATGCGCAGCAGGAGTAACAGTTTTGTTGATGTTTCATTTGATAAAACGTCGAAGTCGTCAAAATATTTGGATGATGATGATGACCCAATGTGGGATGGACATGTTCATGACAGTGGCTTGGTTAGTATGGCAGTAAGTATAAGGGGAGGGGCATTTGTTTAATGGGAGATAAGGGAAAGGGATGGTTCACATGTTATATGTGTATATGCATATCAGACCTTATTTGAAACAGTAATCACTTTGAATACCAATACTGTGAACTTGGAAGCCCATATGTGGTGTCATGAGCTGGGTTCAGTGGTTTAAGTAAAGGGA